AAATGATGAAAAATTTCTATGTTAACTTTATTTTGCTATGCATATGAGTTGAGGATGATTTGTGCCGTGGTCCTTTTGCATTTTAGCTTGATTTAAGGGCTCGTGCTCAAGTCCCGATCCTCAAATGGCTCGGGTCGGGGCTAGTGCCTGGGGAGATCCACATGTCGAGACTGGCCAGGCCGGGAACATGGTGACCGAGGGTTATGGGTGACCCGATTGTGGGTTTTTGCCGATTCCCCCCCGGAGTTCACCACGCCCCGGGGCACGGCTCGGTTCTGGGCCCCGCTTGGCGATTTTAGCTGACCGAACCGAGCCCCCGAGGGCAAGGTTGAGCACGAGTGACCTTATTTCAAGTTAAGATTCTTCAGAAGGAAAAACGGCACAGACACAACCTTTAGGAAATTGAAACTGCTTTTATTGAAATGCTGAAATAAGAAATGTAAGGCTGTGCATGTGTGGTAGCCCCCGGCTAACCCTGCACACCCGAGGGGGGTGCGGGGTTAGCCCGAGCCCGAAACCTGACACCCGACCCCCCCCCCCCTCCCCTCAGGGGTAGAAGCGACGAAGGTGTTCGATGTTCCACGGGTTTGGCAGCTCAGTGCCGTCGCCCGTGGCCAGCCGTACGGAGCCCGGCCGGGGGACGCCGATCACTCGATACAGACCCTCCCACATTGGTGAGAGCTTGCTCAGTCCAGCACGCGTTTGGACGCGACGTAGGACGAGGTCGTCGACGCAGAGTGATCGGGCCCGGACGTGGCGCTGATGGTAGCGCCGCAGGCTCTGCTGGTAGCGCGCGGCTCGGAGGGCCGCGCGCCACCTTCGCTCTTCCAAGTAGTCGAGGTCATCTCTACGAAGCTGATCTTGATCAGCCTCGCAGTACATGGTGGCCCGAGGAGACCTCAGGGTGAGCTCGGATGGGAGAACCGCTTCTGCGCCGTAGACGAGGAAGAAAGGCGTTTCCCCGGTCGCTCGGCTTGGTGTGGTTCGGTTTGCCCAGAGCACCGCTGGCAACTCCTCGATCCATGAATCGCCGTGCTTCTTGAGAATATTGAAGGTCTTGGTTTTAAGGCCTTTGAGGATTTCTGCATTGGCGCGCTCCACTTGGCCATTGCTTCTGGGGTGGGCAGGTGAGGCGAAGCAGAGCTTGATGCCCATGTCTTCGCAATAGTCGCCGAAGAGTTCACTAGTGAATTGGGTGCCATTATCCGTAATAATACGGTTAGGCACTCCAAAACGGGCCGTGATGCCCTTAATGAATTTAAGAGCAGAGTGTTTATCGATCTTGACGACCGGATAAGCCTCGGGCCACTTAGTGAACTTGTCGATCGCGACATACAGATACTCAAACCCGCCCGGGGCCCGCTTGAACGGTCCCAGGATATCAAGCCCCCAGATAGCAAATGGCCATGACAGTGGTATGATCTGCAGGGCCTGGGCCGGCTGATGGATTTGCTTGGCGTGGAACTGACACGCTCTGCATCGCCGGACCAGATCGACTGCATCATTGAGAGCTGTCGGCCAATAAAATCCTTGACGAAAGGCCTTGCCAACCAGGGTGCGCGAGGCGGAATGGGCTCCGCATTCGCCTTCATGGATATCGGCAAGAAGCTCAACGCCTTGTTCCTGAGGAATGCATTTCAGGAGGATTCCGTTAGCCGCGCGCCGATAGAGGGTCCCTTCTATCAGCACATAGCGTTTGGAAATGCGTTGGACGCGTTCACTCCCTTCGCGGTCCTCAGGTAGAGTCTTATCTGTGAGGTATGCTTGGATCTCAGAGATCCAAGCAATCAATCTAAGGGTGCTTGGAGCGCTCCCTTCGGGTCCCGAGACCTGGACTCCGGCGGGCCTCGGGGGCCGGTCAGGCGCATCCGTCTCCCCTAAGGGGTCGGGTCGCGCCGACGGCTGGGTAAGCCTTTCTTCAAAGGCGCCCGGTGGGGTTTGGGCTCGCGAGGACGCGAGCCGTGAGAGTTCGTCGGCAACCATGTTATCCCGTCTGGGTACATGCCGAAGCTCTATCCCGTCAAAATGGCGCTCCATACGCCGTACTTGGCGTACATAAGCGTCCATCTGTGGGTCAGAGCACCGGTATTCCTTACAGACCTGGTTAACGACCAGCTGGGAGTCGCCTAACACCAAGAGGCGGCGGATCCCCAGTCCAGCTGCCACCCTGAGTCCGGCAAGGAGTCCCTCGTACTCTGCCATATTATTAGTCGCTCGAAAGTCGAGACGGACCAGGTATCTGAGGACGTCTCCGTTTGGGGAGGTCAACGTGACCCCCGCACCGGCGCCCTGGAGAGACAGAGAACCGTCGAACTGCATCACCCAGTGGGTGGTGCGAGGCAGCTGAGAGGGGTCCGTGCTAGCCTCGGGTATTGAGACGGTCTCTGGAGCCGGGGTCCACTCTGCCACAAAATCGGCGAGGGCCTGGCTCTTGATAGCGTGGCGTGGTTCAAAGTGCAGATCGAACTCAGAAAGCTCGATTGCCCATTTTACCACTCGTCCTGTACCCTCTCGATTATGCAAGATTTGCCCGAGGGGGTAAGACGTAACCACAGTGACCCGATGCGCCTGGAAATAATGGCGCAGTTTCCTCGAGGCCATCAGAATAGCGTAAAGCATCTTCTGGGCCTGAGGGTATCGGGTCTTGGCGTCCCGGAGGGCCTCACTAACAAAGTAGACAGGCCGCTGCACCCTTCGGTGGGGCCGATCCTTTCTGCTAGGGGCCGTATCCCCAGGGCGTTCTTCGTTCAAGTGGCCTTTCGGGGCGCACTTGTCTTCTGTGCCGATGACCTCGGGGTCGGAGGATGAAAGGGGCGGCCTTCCCTCAGTGGCCTCGGGGCCGTCCTGGGGGTCGGGGGCTCCTGGCATCGTCGGACAAGTGGGCAAAGGGCCAACTCCGGTCGTCAGGGGCCTCTGGCCTCCGTTCGGCTCGGGGGCCTCTTCTCCCTGCTTTCTCCCGGGTCGAGTCAGCACAGGGTTAGCCTCGGGGCCAAAGGGCGATAGGTGCGGCCTTCCCGCAGTGGCCTCGGGGCCCTCCTGAGGGTCGGGGGCACCTAGCACCGTCTGACAAGCGGGCAGAGGGTCGACTCCGGTCGTCAGGGGCCGTAGGCCACCGTCCGACTCGGGGGCCTCTCCTCCCCGCTCGCTCCCGGGCCAAGTTAGCACAGAATGGGGGTGCACGAAATGAGGATTGTCTTCATCGCGCTCCACAACCAACGCTGCACTAACTACTTGGGGGGTCGCCGCTAAGTAAAGTAGCAGGGACTCATTTGGCTCCGGGGCGACTAGAACCGGGGGAGAGCTGAGATATGCCTTTAACTGAGTGAGGGCATGTTCAGCTTCCTCCGTCCAAGTAAACGGCCCCGAGCGCTTGAGGAGCTTAAACAAGGGTAGCGCCTTCTCTCCCAGCCTTGATATGAAACGACTTAGGGCGGCCATGCAACCGGTGACGCATTGCACATCCCTAAGTTTGCTGGGGGGGCGCATCCGCTCGATAGCTCGAATCTTCTCGGGGTTGACCTCAATGCCTCGGGCAGAGACCAAGAACCCGAGAAGCTTGCCCGCAGGTACACCAAACACACACTTATCGGGGTTCAGCTTTATGCGGGCGGAGCGGAGGTTCTCAAAAGTTTCCGCTAGATCTGAAAGTAAAGTTTCTTGGTTGCGCGTTTTTACAACCAAGTCATCGACATAAGCCTCAACATTACGTCCTATTTGGCTACCCAAAGAAATTCGAGTAGTACGTTGAAAAGTAGGACCTGCATTCTTTAACCCGAAGGGCATTGACGTATAACAATAGGTTCCTACGGGGGTAATGAACGCAGTTTTTTCCTCATCCTCCCTAGCCATGCGAATCTGATGGTAACCAGAGTATGCATCTAGAAAACACAAAAGGTCGCACCCCGCAGTGGAGTCGACGATCTGATCTATGCGAGGCAGGGGGTAAGGATCCTTAGGACATGCCTTGTTAAGGTCGGTGTAGTCGATGCACATCCGAAGCTTGCCGTTCGCCTTGGGAACGACCACCGGGTTCGCCAGCCACTCCGGATGGATGACTTCACGGATGAATCCGGCCTCCAGAAGTCTCGCCACCTCCTCGCGGATGAAGGCTTGACGTTCCGGGGCCTGCCGCCGCACTTTCTGCCGGACCGGCCTTGCGCCCGGCCGCACGGCGAGACGGTGCTCAATCACCTCCCTGGGGACCCCGGGCATGTCCGCTGGTCTCCATGCGAAGACGTCAGCGTTTGCCCGCAGGAAGGAGACGAGCGCGTCTTCCTATTTGCCATCCAGAAGACCACCGATCCGTGTGGTCTTGGATGGGCCGTCGCCCAAGGCAACCTCCTTGACCGGGACCTCGTCGCATGTGGCAATCCGCTGCCTCGGGGCGGTGGGGGCGGAGGTGCCAAGCCTCTCGTCACCACCCTCGGGCTTGGTCGCAGCAGCGAGGTGGTCCGCGCGCTGCTCCATGCAAGCGAGCGCGACTTTAAGGTCGCCACGGACAGAGATGGGGCCACCGGGGCCCGGCATCTTCATCTGGAGGTAGGCGTAGTGGACCGCCGCCATAAACTTCACCAACGCGGGCCTCCCCAGGACCGCGTTGTAGGGCAGACTGAGGTCCGCCACATCGAAGTTCACCCGCTCCGTGCGGAAGTTGGCTGATCCACCAAAGGTGACCGGTAGGTCGATGTGACCTAACGGCCATGTGTGCCCCGGCGTCACACCGATGATCGGTTGAGACGGCTGGAGCACCATCCCCGGGGCCTTGATAGCATCAAAGGCCGCGGGGGAAAGGATGTTGAGAGCCGCTCCTCCATCTATGAGGACACGCCCCAACTTCACATTGCAGATGGTGGGGGAAACCACCATCGCAATCTGCCCTCCCCGGGCAACGCACGGTGGGTGGTCGGTCTGGTCAAAGGTGAGGGCCACCTCCGACCACCGCGCCCGACACGTCGCCTCATGAGTAGGGGCCGCGGCCAGAAGCTCTCGCTTCATAGCCTTGAAGCTCCGGCGAGAGATGTGAGCACACGCTCCCCCATCGACAGTGGCAATGGTGGCCCCAGGTTCTTGGAAACCTAGGTCATCATCACCGTCATCGACGTCAACAGCGGGGGCCTTCTGTTTGGCCTCACTTCGCCGTTTGCCGGAAGGAACCGCCGGGGACTTACCTTCCCGGCGCTCCTGCCTCCTGTCCTCCTCCCACTTCCTCGTTCGCTCAGCCAAGTTTTTGACTGCGCGACAGTCCGCGAGATCGTGGAGGGAGGTGTTGTGGACGGAGCACCACTTGCTGGCTGGGCGCTCCCTGCTGGGAGTACCAGCCTCTTTCTTTTTGTCGCTCGCAGGCCTCCCCTTTCGGGTGGCCCGCGGAGCGCCCTCGACGGCGAGGACGTGACCCTCGTCGCCGGAATAGACTGACCTTTTCTTCCTCCTCCTGTCACGCCGCCCTGTCTGAGCGGCGGATCCGGGGGCGGCCGAAGCTGCCACACCGGAACCGGAGGGGTTCCAGGTCCAGGCCTCCTCCTTACGAGCCACTCGGTCCGCGAGCTGAAAAAGCTCTGCGGTAGTCTGGGGCTCTTTGGAGGCAATCTTTTCGAGCATGCGGTTGTGTCGCACACCCCCCCTGAACGCGTAGATCACCGCGTGTGCAGGGATGCAAGGTATAGTATTGCGGACTTGGCAGAAACGCTGAATGTACGAGCGAAGGGATTCATCATCCCCTCGCTGTACTGCGTGCAAGTCCGCTTCTTCACCTGGGCGTGGATAGGTGCCTTGAAAGTTCATGGTGAACTGCTGGCACAGATCCTCCCAGGAGTGGACTGACGCGGGTGGCAGGTTCATTAGCCAACCCCGCGCCTGTCCCTTCAGGGCCATGGGAAAGAAATTCGCCATGACCCTGTCGTCTCCCCCAGCGGCCTCGATCCCGGTCGTATAGACCTGGAGAAACTCGGTGGGGTTGACGCTCCCATCATACTTCTCGGTGATGGTGGGCCGGAACCTTGGGGGCCAACGGACATTCCGAAGACTCGCCACAAAGGCTCTACAGCCAACACCACCAACCGGGGGCACGGAGGGCTGGTCCTCACGTCCATGTCGAGGTGACACCCTGGACGAAGAGGCACCCTCCGTTGCGCGGGGAGCACGCCGATCACTACGTCGGCGTTCGATGTGAAGGCGGGCATCCGGCTCTTCATGCTGATCCTCCCGAGTCGGAGGCGCCGACGAGGGAGTGGTAGCCGAATGGCGTGCAGCAGCCGCCGCTCGCCGCGCCCTCCGCCTTGATGACACAGAGCCGGTGGTGGCGGCGGCGGAGGTCCTGGTGGTGGCGGACCGTTCACCAGCACCCAGGCGCTGCTGTGCCGTCATGACCAAGTTGGCCACGTCGTCCAGCCATCGCTGGGCTGGAGACTCCGGGTCAGGGACGACGGGCGGGTGACGTAGGAGCGCGCCAGCAGCCTGAAGCGCTCCCTGGGGCGTGCTGCCGTCACCGTAGACGAGGAGGCGACGCTCCCCGTCTCGCCGCTCTCCTGCATCACCTGCGACTGGTGATGCTGTGGGTTTTTCGACCCTCTCGAGCGCCTCCCCCCGCTTAGGACTTTGGCGTGGAGGAGGTGGGGGAGTACGAGCTCGACGGCGCGGGTTTGGCTCCCCGTCGTCGCCGCTCACACTCGGAGAGAGGTCGTGCGCCTTTGCTTGCTCGGCCATTAGGCTGAACAAGGGAAACTTGGTGCACACGGAAGAGTATGAGAGCTCAGAAAACACACGCTGAGCCCCCTACCTGGCGCGCCAGATGACGGAGCTCGTGGCCCCTCACCGGGAGACCGCGCAGGCCCCCCTTTGCCGGTTCGGCCGGGGGCTCAGGGTGAGATCTCAAGCTCTCTCTGTAGATGACGGCAAGATCGCTCCCTCTCAAGAGAACATGAAACACAAGCGATGTATACAGGTTCGGGCCGCTGAGAAGCGTAATACCCTACTCCTGTGTTTTTGTGGATCTGTGTATGAAGGAGCTACAAAGTGTGAGCCGACCTCTCCCTCCTTCTAGGCACTCAATCTGGAAAAGAATCAAAAGATCCCCTTTCTATGGGCAAGGTCCTCCTTTTATACTTCAAGGGGATACCACATGCACCCTTCTCTTTCCAAACTGGACTTTTCTTCTTTACATAAATGGACGGAGATTTGCACGGTTGCCCTCCGAACGTCCTTCTGATGGGACGGCACATACCTACCTCTACTTCTGCCGGGGGCAGGCACGTCGTGGGAACGTGGCTGTGTGCCGACGACATGAGCAGTGTCAGACCGGTCACAAATCGGTCATTCTTGTCCACCACGCGTCAGCTTAGCAACGTGCATGTTTGCCCTTCTTCACACAACATCTTGCCTGTAATGGTTAGGATGAAGCCTGGTATATATCGATCGGGGCTAACGTGCCATCTCTGGGATGTAACACGCTAGCTCCAGCTGGGGACGAGTGCCTAGAAGCTCACATCTTGACGGGATGGGGCAAAGCGTGCGTCAGACCGCCTGTCGCCACCTAACCCGCGATTTGACCGGTCTGTGACTGGTCACAGACCGGATAATCGAGTGCACTGCACTGCACTTCGTGCGGCGTGACACGCTTAGCCGAGGCGCAATAAATGCGGTTAGGTGAGCCCTGCTGTGCTCACCCAACCTATGTACATAGTGCAAACCCCACAGGGGGTCGGGGCACCTCGGCCCTCGGGGCCGGGGCAGGACCAACCCGACCCCCCCTCGGGGAAATCAGGAGGAGGGCGGACACCTCACCCTCGGGCCCGACGTCCCCGAAGGTGCCAGGCCACGTGGGCGATTCCATCTGCCTCAAGCCTCCGGGCGCAATACTCCCGGTCCCATATCACCGACATAGGTGGAGCATCCTGTAACCTGAAATGGAGGGAATAAGGCCCCCAACATTTGGCGACATATTTACAAATGAAAAGTAATTTGTGAATAGAACTTTTTTATACATGTTCTTAGCGATCAAAATATATATTTGTCTTTTTATCTTTTTGTGTGGGGGTTATTTTTGTAAATACATGCTATCTCACTAAGTCAGATCCGTTTGCCCGCATCGAGTCAGAAACTAAATCCGCTCGGCTCGCATGGGCGATCACCGCCACTGGCTTCTATCGGCAGCGCCCCTACCGCCGACAGCCACAATCGCCACCCCACCGAGAGCCAAAATTGGTGTCGCCGCCATCGGAAATTGATTCGAGAGACAAGGCGCCGGGGACGCGGGAGACGACGGGTGCGTGGAGGATCGGCTTCTCCCGGCGCCGGAGGAATCGGGAGCGAGGTGCGCCGGGAGGCTCCGTCGCCAGGGATGCCAGACGAAACAAAAAAAAGAAGCGCTACCCTATTCGTGACGATATCCACAACAGAAAAAACACGGGCAATATAATCCCTATTCGTGATTAAAAAAACAAAAACAATCTCTTTTTTAAATTTCCAAACAACCCTTTTCAGAATTTTAACAAATACCAAATCTACCCTCATATATACTGACGATATATACTTATAGTAGAATGTACCGTAAAAGTCTTCAATGAAAAACTCCCAAATCAACTCTGAATTTATAAATTATGACTGATAAGTATAAGCATAAGCATAAGCGAAAATACGATGATACTGATGATATGAAGATCTCGTTTTTGGTTTTGGAAGTTCAAAACGATCGATCTAATCCGATGACGTGGTGGTCTTGAAAATTCATTACTCTAAAACTCTGAAGCAATGTGAGGAGAAAAATACAAAACAGAGGGGACGCAGCGTTGATGGCGAATTGACAGAGGCGGAGGACATCGGACACTGGGAAAAGTGATCTGATCTTCCAACGCGTGATGTACTGTATATGAAGTTTGCCAGGGTTCCCTGCACTAGACACCCATCTGTGATTGTGACCATCAATCAACTTACCAACAGGTCGAAGCTGCACTCAATTGCCATTTGCCAATCCATCGAATCCACACGAAATTACGCACTACCAGTTGGCGCGTTGCCGCTTGGCTCGGCTAGCTTGATGCCCAGGCCGACCGTCCATACGTGAACGCGTCTTTTTCAGTGGACACTATGGTTTCTGCACAGTGCCATCGATTCCATCCTAGTTGTATCATACAAATCCACACCACAAATACCAACATTGCACATGCCACACACGACGGAACAAAATACCGAAGATACTAGAGTTTGTTCAGGCACGACGACATGTTAATTGGACAGTACAGTTGAATAGCTGATGCATCATGATCCTACTCTGTTATACTGCACCACTATCCAACTTCCAAAGCTTTACTCTCACATGTACAGTACAGTGCCATCGATTACAGCCTAGTTGCATCACGCAAATCCACACTACAATAGCATTGTTGTATTTGTACATGCCATGACTTATAAACGACGGAACAAAATACTAAAGATACTAGAGTTCTTGTTCAGGCACGACCACGGCATGTTAAATGTACAGGACAAGTTGAATAGCTGATGCACCACTATCCAACTCACAAAGCTAAAACTGTGTCACTACTCTCAGATGCTATTTTAGACTACCAGGTATGCCCCATTGTAAGGTAAGGTTCACTGACACGGGTAACAGTACCACATCACTCTACATCAACACTGTTTTGCACAGCATTCAGGCAACTCGTTTTATGGAACAAGCGCCAACGGACCACTATTCTTCTTCGTCGTAGCGGTAGCGGCTGGCATTGTCATCTTCATAGTGGTTGGCGTTGTCCTCCTCAGGGTTGTTCACGCGCTCGCATTCGTCGATCCATTCGCTGTATCTGCGATGAAGAAGTTCGATGAGTTTCGGGGTGTGTCCACCAACAGTTCATCTGCACGAGCCTAAATAGATGGTTCTCAAGACTCAAGAGCAAACTTACATGTCGATGGGTTCAGTCAGAGCTGCAGAAAGGAGGAAAAAAAATGGTCAAGTCAGCATTATTTTGTTCAGATATCAAATGGTAAGCATTTACAGAGGCAATTGCATCAGGCGTATTGTCTTCCTAAACAAACCTAATCTTGGACAAACAGAAGGAAATTTCTGCAATTTTAGTAAGCAACTAAGAGGGAATTGCGTTATACATACTGCCTACATAGTCTTGTGGAGTTCTTATATTATGGTTATTTCTTTTCCAAAAGGACTAGCGAGGATGTTGCCTATCATTAACTAGGAAGGGAGACATGAACTCAAATGACAGGTTTGGAGGGCCCACAAAATCTAGCCTGCAGGCCCAGCTAACTGAACAAAGAAAGCACTAACGACACGTAGGCAAATTTATACTCCTGCCCCAATGCAGCAGTGCAATACTAGTACAAAGCATGAAAAACAGTTATCAACTATAAATGGCTAAGATAATCAAAAGGTGTTGGAACTTGGAAGCACAGATGCTGAAAGTTAAGACCTGATTCCCCAACCTTTTCATTTTGGTTTTGCAGAGGCATAAGTTATCTACAGATGATTAAATCTTATTCCAATTTATTATAAAGAAATGTAAGCATGACGCCAACAGTAACTAACCAAATAACCTAAAGAGAGAACACAAAGCACAATTATGCTCGATTGCAAAGTTCACAACAGGAAAAGGGGTCACTTCAAATACTAAACCACTGATCCAAAACGAATGGCCACATGGTTCCAGAGCATATTACCATTAACAGATGTGCTAAAAGTTTCCAAACAAATTCTGCATGAGGCCTCGCCGATTAAGTTCTTTAGATCACTGCGAAACACAGAAGAAGGTGTCACTGCACTGCCAAAAACTAGCACGGACAGAGAAATTCAAGAGAAACAAAAAGCCAGGTATGTGAATGGTCACAAAACATACTTACATGCGACACTCAACACTACTTCCGTGGTTGCAAAATGGACAGCAAAAGACAGTATCAAGCTTGTCCATTCTCTTCTTGGGAGGTGGTTTTGCTTTGGACTTCCTCTTGCCCATGATTCAACGCTTATTTTTCCCGCCTTTTGCACGTAGTTCAAAAATAGTAACAATTGAATTATATTGATGCTGTCATATTTTTGCGCCACAAAGAGACAAAGTCTCCACTCTCAAAAGTTACAGCATGAAGGAAACACATAGAAGTAAATGATACTCAACATTGAGCACACAATAGAGATGCAAATCAGCACATGCAATTTGAGATATCTCAACATTGAGCACTAATATGCAGAACAAACATCATCCTATAGATTTGCAATATTTTTCAATCAAATCACAAGGTGTTGTTGGTTCAATGCAACAATTTAGCATCTATACAGGCCTCCTAAAGTCACAATCTAAGTTGTTGGCTCAAAATTTCAAATGCACAGCATATGCCCAGCCAAATGATAATAGAAGCGGCAATTAAGCATCTATACAAACCCCCTCAAAATCACAACCGAAGTCACCTTTTAAGAAACCTCACAATCTAAGCATCTAACAACAGCCTATCTGCTTAGCTTCGATTATCAACTTCTTCTCTTTTTTTTTTCTTAAAGAATTCACTAAAATTCCATCAAGCGGTTGCACTTAAAATAGCTCTGACCGTACCCAAAACCCCCAAAAACCCTCTGCTCTGAAATTCCCTAATCAACCCCAGCGATTTCATGCACCGTGAGTAAAATCACTACAAAATTCTAGCAGCCTAAGCACAAACGAACAGCAAAATCACAAATACTACCTCGCGACTCATCCGCATCTACAAGCATACCTAACCTAAAAACCTAAACCCCTTAAAAAACAAAATTCCCCAGGACAATCGATCGATCAAAGCGAAACACTCAGCTCACTAGCGCAGCAGCATCCAAGCACTCCACCCCACATCACCGAAGAGTAAACGAGATAGATAGCGAGCAGGAGAGCAAATCCTAGCTACGCGGGAGGGAGAGGAGGCGGGTGGCTTGGGTTACCTCGGCGAGCGGCGGAGACGGAGACGGAGACGGAGGCAAAACGGACGACGAAACCGGAGTCCAGAATGATCGCGACCGACCCGACCGCAACCCGCACCGCCTGATTTATAGACGCTGCAGCTAGCAGTATGGGAGGCCCATTGCTTAGTGGGCCTTGGGCCCATGAGTGCCTGGTTCGTATAAGGCCGCAATTGTGGTCCGTACACGCGTATGGGCTGGTGTTTCGGCCCATCGTAACGGAGATGGAAGCCCATGCTGACTCGGTCTTATTGGGCCGAGATGGAAATAAATGGGCCCATTACGTCGTTCATTTGATACTGCACGAAACGGCGCCTCGTGAGAAAGCGAACAGTACGTGATAGCGATAAGTACAGTGTCATACTCATTTATTTGGATATAATAAAAAAATTGGCGTTTTTCTTTAAAGAAACTATGGCTAATTACTCATAGCTTAATTACAGAGATTAGAGACGAAATACTGCGAATTATCATAGCTTAATTAAAAGCAATAAAGCCACTTAGGCTATCTACCCAAGGACACAGAATAAAACCACGATCTATATGTTTACAGTCATTGCTTTACAGTGTTATACTCCTAACTTACAATCCCAGGAGTATCAGAGTAGTCTGTGGTGCCCGGTAGTGGTAGGTAAGTGTGTTGTTCTTTAGCATTTTTCTATTTTTCCTCTTCACACTTTATTTGGTCAACGATAACGAAAAGGCTAATACTAGAATCCTAACGACATGATATGGCTAGTATCTAGCTTGATGTACTGTTGCAATCACAGAATATAATTTGGAACCAACCCAATCAAATCAATCATACAGAATCCTATCCCCTGAGTTTTTTTTATTTGCCATTTGAGTGTTTTTAATATGCATGTTTGATCATTATTTCTTCATGGGATCGTTACTTTTTAAACTAAAATATTCATAAAATCTATTAATGCGGAGTATTATTTTTACCTATCAAATTCACATCCACTTTTAAAAGTTTGAGTCGATCTTGTTTTAAATGACAAATATTTATATTCGGACGAACTAAACGGATCCATGATCATATGTGTTTTGGTTATAAGATACTCCCTCCATTCCAAAATATAATGGATTTGAGGTGGATACGACATATCCTAATAAATCAAGTTTCAGGCCCTGTTTGTTTCCTCTAAAATTAGAGGATAAACTTTTGGATTAAAATGACACGCTTTTCAAACTGCTAAACGGTTATTTCGTGCAAAAACTTTCTGTATGAAAGTTGTTCTAAAATATCAGATTAATACATTTTTCAAGTTTGTAATAATTAAAACTCAATTAATCACACGTTATTACCACCACATTTTCCATGAAACACTTAATTTTCATCTTCATCTTTAGGAGATTCAAACATCACCTTAGAGCGAGCAGGTAAAATAGCAGACTATAAGTCAGCTGTAAACATATTTTAAGAAGATAAAAGAGGAGAGATAAAAGTGGCGGGCTACAGATTTGTAGCCAGCTGTATCACGGACTTAAGACGCATGTGTGTATGATAGGTGGGACCAGATATTGATTGTGTAATATATTTTTATAGGTAACTATTGTATGGATTGGCTATTAAATTGACTATATATGATTTGAAGTCAACAATTGGCTATATTAATAGTATAGCCAACTACTAGCTCTAATTCATCTATAGCTAATCTAATAACTCATTCATATAATAATTACATACTACACTATTAATACCTGGTCCCCCTGTCATCCACACACTTCGTCTTGGAATTCGTGCTACAGCTGGTTACAAATATGTAGCCCGCTGCTTCTCTTTTTTCTCATTTATCTTTTTAAAATATATTTACAGCTGGCTTATAGCCTCCTATTATATCCGATGTTAGTCTCCTCCTGATAGAACATAAACACAAGCTCAGAATTCAATAAATCCAATCGTGCTGCTGCCTGCTGGTCAAGATACGGTGGGTGGTGCATTTCCATTCCAATTTCCATTCCACTGGCGCGCGAGGAGGTGGGTGGGACCTACCCATGATTCTCTGGGACCCGCCGATGAGCCGCCGGGAGAAATGCGCCGGCCGGCGTCACCTGATCTGATCTTCCCTTTTCGTGGTGCGAGTGGGAAGCGTCCAAATCTGATCCTGGAATCTTCCGCTTTTCCGCTCCATTACATCACGACGGCCGCCGCAGCAGTCAAAGACCACTTCTTTTTTTTTCCTCTTTGTATTTTCTTTTACGAAGAAAAAAAGAAGCCGCCGCCGCAGTAGGAACTAGGTAGAGGATGACCACGAATTCCAACTGCAGACGGAAATGCAGACACCATGGTGGAAATAACTGTGTAACCTCTGTATTAACACTGTTGATTTTTTTTTGAGTATTCATATATTTTTTACATGTAAAAAGGTTTAAGTCACACTGTACTTTAAAAATGTTTAATGATAAATCAAGTCATAATAAAAATAAATAATAATTACATAAATATTTTAAGATAAACCAAAGGCTAAAACATATTATAGTCCATAGTGTAGTAAGTATACGGCCTCATTTTTTTCGTTTATATTTATGTTTATCAGCCAAAAATTAAATTTTCAATCTTAAATTTAAAATTATATTTAATATTTTCTCATTAAAGTTTATTTTCTAGCCTTTGATTTTAGACTAAGAATGCATATATAAATTTTATTTATAAATTATTATTTTTAAATATGCCGGATCTATAGTCTACCGGCGGCGGCGATGTGGCGCCTCGGGGTGCGAGGAATTTTCCTCGCCTTTCCTTTTCTTTCCAAGGCGAAGAGCACTTTTTGGCTTCTTTTTTTTACCCACCCTTCCTCTTCTTCTCTTCTCTCGCCCAACCAATCGCCTTCTCGGATTCTCCTCCTCCGCAAGCCCAGCCCTGACGTTGTCTCGGACACCCAAAGGCTGTGTTTGATCTCCGCCCGCCACCTGTCTTCCTCCTCCTGCTGCGCGCGCGCCTGCTTCTTCTTCCCGTTGAGCCAGAGAGCGGTTCTTGGTGCAGGTGAGGCACCAAGATCTCCCTCTTCTTCCTCCTGCGATTCAGCGAAATCTTTAGGTAGGTAGGAGTAACTCCAAGTCAATGTTTTTCTTTCCCTTTTTTTGTTGTTGTTGTTGGAATTTTCACATGTGTTTGGCATGATCTCGAAACAGCAGCGATCTTTGTATGATCTCCATGTTTGTTGGGATTTGGTGATGTGATATTGTGATGTGATTCATCGGGATCTTCTCCTCCTTTTTCGTCTGGTTTAGATGCTGCATCTGCATGCGTGCTCGCTGAGAAATCCCCCGTTTGTTTTCGCTCATCTTGATCTGTGTCTGTTGCTTTCGTCTCGTCTTGTGCAGAGCCGGGGATGGCGGCTCTGATGAACGGCTTTGGGAGCCTCCAATGCAAGGCGACGGTGCATGTCGAGAAAGGGCACATGCAAGCATCGGGGATGGCCTTCTTCTCTCCCGTCAACAGATGCGCCCAGGTTCATATCTCCAGGTGATCTTGATTCTTGCAGCTCTCAGATTGTCTTTGTGTGTGCTTGTTTCCAAATGTTCATCAGCTTTATTTTTGGTAGGAAGCACAACACTTCGGTTTTGCTGCTTACAAGAATTTACCTTTTGAAAAGCTGATGTTTTAAAGTCCTCATCCTTCTTTGACCCTGAATTTTGCCTAAAGAAGTTCTCTTGGGGTGGGTGGGGGGAATGGACGCTGATGCTTCAAAAATGGGAAGAACATGATTCAGCTAGGAGACTGAGAAGTCATGTGAAAATTCGTCAGTTTGTTTTTACTGTCAATTTTAACAGTGTCACCTATGGCAAATTGCAAGCTTTGATGGAAGATTCTGAAACTGTTGTATTGTTTAAAGCTGATGACACTGTACTGATTGCGCTTACTGATTCTGTAGTATTCCTCATTTCATCGGCGCGAAGTCTGTTAGTGCTTCCCAACTTCGAATGAGGCACAAGGTCGGGTCCATCAGAGCCTCTGCAGCCTCGTGCTTGCAAGATGAAACAACAAAATATTTCGATTTTGTGGTCATTGGCAGCGGTGTTGCTGGCCTAAGGTATGCTCTGGAAGTGTCTAAGTACGGCTCTGTCGCCATCATTACCAAAGCAGAGCCTCATGAGAGCAACACGAACTACGCACAAGGCGGTGTCAGCGCGGTTCTATGCCCCTCAGATTCTGTAGAGAGCCACATGCAAGACACCATTGTCGCGGGGGCTTATCTGTGTGATGAAGAGACTGTCAGGGTAAGTTCAGCATCCATCATGAAGGCAATGGTTGATTTGTCATCTAGAGCAATATGATCAATGCGTATTTCCGTTGTCCTTTCCTGTTATAAAAATCACAATACTGGATTAGTACATTCCATTTTATATTTCAGGTAGTATGCACAGAAGGACCGGAGCGTGTGAAGGAGCTCATTGCCATGGGAGCTTCATTTGACCATGGCGAGGACGGAAGGCTGCACCTTGCAAGGGAAGGTGGACATTCTCACAACAGAATAGTTCATTCTGCTGATATGACTGGAAGAGAGATCGAGAGAGCACTGCTTCAAGCAGTTGATAATGATGATAACATATCTTTGTTTGGCCACCACTTTGCCATTGATTTACTCACCTGTCAGGTTGGTTAATTGACATGTTACCTCTTGCTTCATTCTTGAGTGTCCTGCGTTATAGTCCTTTTTTTTGTGGACAATACTTTTGTTGATCCTGCATAACAACAAAATTCAATATATAACTTGCTTGAAGTAATGACCCTAGCTTCTATTAGTTTGGACCTAAAAAAATAGTCTAATGGAAACTGAACTAGAAGCGACAGGGAACTCGTGATAACTGGCACTATCACTGTCGGCTTCCTAACTCTTGTCGGTAGCTGCCTCTTAATCGTGGCGTTTAACGTTTGACTAACTACTGATAGAGTCAAATCTGGAATTATCTTTAATAAGCTGCACGTGTTACATTTATCTTTTCTAGATTATCCTTGTCTCCACTCCTATTTTTTAATTACAATGTCTCAATCACATTATGATTTCAACATTTTTTACTTAATCTATTCCTGAGAGTACGATAAGAGTATGAACAAATTGAAACGTTTATATTCCATAAATGAAAATGCATGCGCTACATACCATAACCAAATTTGCACATCCTATTAGTAGACTGGAATGACTTGACTAACAGGAGGTTTTCTGTTGCAGAGTAATGGTGAAATATATTGCTATGGTGTGGATTCATTGGACGCTGAAACTCAGAAGGTACATCAGCTGTAATTTTGCTTACATTTCCTCCTGCCAGATTTGTCATGCAATTTTTACATTTTCTCTTGTCATATTTTTCATCTTGAAACCATTTATGAACCAGCTTTGTAAATATATGTCCTATGTGATATCCAGGCAATTCGTTTCATCTCGAAAGTAACATTGCTTGCATCTGGAGGAGTTGGTCATATATACCCCTCAACGACCAATCCACCGGTATATGATACATCACCCTCACAATCTTTAATATTTTTTTCGTATAATGGATTATTTGAAGGCATTAGCTCTACCTTCTGTTCTATATCATGCTCATTTTTTGCTTTGAAACGACAAATATCGTAGATGAACAACCAAATACGATGCACCATGTAGTTTATTATTTGATGGACAATAAGTTGCTGATGTAATGCTTAGTACGATATTTCTTAGACTCTTTGAATCCAAACATTTCAGGTAGCTACTGGGGATGGAATTGCAATGTCTCATCGTGCGCAGGCTGTAATATCTAATATGGAGTGAGTATTTCTTTCCTGAGTACACACCGTTGACCTTTGTTCTCAAAACAAAATTGAGGATCTCCTCATCCATCAGCTTTCAATTCATAGCAATAGCTACCTTAGAAATCACTTTTCCTTCTAACTTCCCTTCGTAAGTTTTGAAACTTTCATCTCGTATCTGGGAAATATAAATGACATTGACACATCCCAAACAATGACAGGTTTGTGCAGTTCCACCCAACTGCACTATCAGATGAGGGTCTCCCAATAAAACCAGCTACAAGAAGAGAGAATGCATTCCTCATAACAGAAGCAGTCAGAGGAGATGGAGGAATTCTTTATAATCAGTCCATGGAGAGGTTTATGACTTCGTATGATGACCGTGCAGAGTTAGCACCGAGAGATGTGGTCGCAAGAAGCATAGATGACCAACTGAAGAAGAGGGGAGAAAAGTATGTCCTCCTGGATATCAGTCACAAGCCAAGGGAAAAGGTTCTTGCCCATTTTCCAAACATTGCAGCTGAATGCCTGCGCCACGGTCTCGACATCACACAACAGCCGATACCTGTTGTTCCTGCAGCTCATTACATGTGTGGGGGTGTCCGGGCTGGGTTGCAGGGGGAGACAAATGTGAAAGGCCTGTATGTTGCTGGTGAGGTTGCATGCACTGGATTGCACGGTGCTAATCGGCTTGCAAGCAACTCACTGCTTGAAGCACTGGTGTTTGCTCGGAGAGCAGTGCAGCCTTCAATAGATCATATGGTCGATGCAGATGTCGATCCTTCTTTCGCGAAGAAATGGGCTCGTCCTGTGCTGTCTGTCTCCCTTAGGGACAGTATACTATCTGATATCATTGAGAAGACAAAGCAGGCCAGGATGGAGCTTCAGTCAATAATGTGGGAGTATGTCGGGATAGTGCGGTCGACGAACCGCCTGAAGCACGCGGAATGGAAGATCAGTGATCTGGAGTCAGAATGGGAGGAGTTCTTGTTCAGGAGGGGGTGGAAGCCTACAATGGTGGGGGTTGAGACCTGTGAAATGAGGAACCTCTTCTGCTGCGCAAAGCTGGTTGTGAAAAGTGCTCTTGCAAGGCACGAGAGCCGAGGCTTGCACTTCACCGAAGACTTCCCTTACCTGGAGGAGAGCAAGAGGAAGCCTACAGTGATCTTCCCTACTCATATCCAGGAGCTGACATGGAGCTCAAAGCCATTGCAGAAGCAGCTGCAGTGCAAGTAGATGGCACACCCATACAAATTACAAAGGGAGTTTGGGATTGCAGATTCCATTAATTTATTAAAATTAGGCTGAACCAGCCTGCTATTTGACAATAAACACATGAATTCAACCTGGAATTGTGAGAAGTTCATTGGCTACAAGCCTACAATTAGGCTTGAAGTAGCATGTATTTAACAACTGTTTGTTCTACCGTTCTCATATGATTCAGCTGTTGTAAGATGTAAACGAGGTTGTGTTCTGATCTACAGAGATTGTAGTATTTTTTTTTTCTAAAAGAATTGGCAGGAATCAATTTGTAGTATAGGATCAAAGATGGTTGTATAAATCGATTCGATTGAAGGGATAGACTCCCAACTCAATCACCTGATAAATCTTGGTTGTTCACTGGATATTTACTGTTTTTATTTCCATCAATATTTCGTATCTGGCATGTCGTCCCAGTGGTGATCTTAAAACTCATATACGGAATACTGTCTTTGAAGTTATGTAAGTTTCTACGCAATTCAGTTTCTCTGATTGTAACTGTGGGGATTATATTTACCGCAGAAGCACAAGAGCTGATATGCGTGTATGAGTTTTCATAATTGTACGCATCCTTACTGATTTGATCCAACATCCTCATAATCTGTCATGTCTTCATGCTGAGAGCAATTCACATGTTACAGAGTAACTAGAAGCTGAAACTTTGTTCATCACAGAAACGTGCAACAGCCCAAAAGCATTAAGTTGTTCTTTTTATAACCTAGAAGTTGTTCATCACAGAAACGTGCAACAAGCCAATATATATTGGATATAACCTAGAAGTTGTTCCTTTTTTTTCTCTGAAGACTGAACTCCAATGGTTGGCCCATGATTACATATACATGTGCAACACAAGAATGGCTGCACCGAAAAACTTAGTCTAAGATAGGAAAAAGGTAACATGCTGGTTGCTGCTAAGAGCAGCTAAATATCTCGCCGGAAGAGATTGTAAGCAGAGATGAGGGCACTGATAGCAAAAACCAAGAATGCCATGAATGAAATGGCGATGGAGCTGTTCGCCATCTTCGGGAAAGGGTCGCTTCCCCAGTTGTCGATCCAATCGCCTACTCGTGCAGTTGCTGATGACGACGAAGATATCAGAAGGTATGCCAGCACCTGGAGAAATAGTAGCAAAAAATAATTCAGCATCATTCTTTACTTCCACAGATCGAACAACTAAAAATTTACCTTTCAGAAAAAAAAAACTAATAAAAAGTCATAACATGTTGGGAAAGTGTAAATACCTCCAGCAATAGAAAAAGAAACAAATAAAAAGCTAACTAATATTCCGTTTGCAATTTGTTCGAAACAAGCACACGGGAAAGATCTGACAAACTAAAATAAGAAGAAGTGTAAACTGTGGACTGTGGAGCTTGTCAAATAAAATGGTTTAACGGTGATAAGAAGAATATATTTTATCTCAGCCATGTATTAGTCTGCAAGAGGGAAAAGAGAAGAACTCCATCATGGAATTCATGTGATTTTGGAGACTGTTAATCTGAGTTGCCCACCCAAACGGCCAAACCATATGCATACAGATGAATTTCTCTTGTGAAGAATTAGATACGATGTGACAATGTACTCAAAAGTAAAAAATCAGGCATAGATATATGACCTCAAATATAGAGCAAATGAAGGTAAATTCAGATTGTCTAGGAGGCGGCACAAACCTAGAGGCTATATAGTAAAATCAATATGAAGGTGCTACATACAGATATTCTGGCCATATAACACTCAATATAAGACATGAAAACATGAAGCACCAAACTAATAGAACCTCTAGTCCTCAACTTCCCCTCATTACTAAAGATCTGTTTGGACTTCAGAGCATAATCTTTAATGGCAGAATATGCCAAAGCCCCACTTATTTTTCATCATATAGGAGAAGATAGTATGCATGCAGCATGCAACGCCTAATCAGATGAGTCCACACTGATTTGAATGATACAAGCTCAATTCAACTACTTTCCTCCTGAATTACTCTGCCCAACCTCCAACAAATATTAGTTCAAAATCATACTGCTTCATGCAGATTACATGTTTGGAACTGGGAAACATAATTTATAATTCCAGTGTAAGTTAAGGCAACCTGAATCTATACATTCGGATTCATATCAAGACAATGAGGGCATAACCCATGCCAACAGTAATTGCAGAATCAAATGAAGCACAAAGTAGCAAAACAGTAATCACAAGAAAGAAATCTTCACAAGCTTATAAAGCTTATACTTTGCTTCATGACGATGCCTTCACATCTCTTCTGCATCCTTTTGTTCACATCACATCGCATGACTCACAGTTGCACAATCCTAAAGAAACCTATGGAAAAAAAAAAGAGAGGAAGCAAATGGCTCCGAATCAGACACAAACCTGATCCATGAAGAAGTCGAAGTAATCTCCTTTGCGCCGCGGATTCAAATGCTTGTTCCTCCTCATGAGATCTGCGAGCACAAAGAACTGGAGCACCGAGTACACGAACCCAATCACGTTCACCGCCTCAGAGTACCTAAACCGCACAATCGCATTAAGCAAATCACTAATTCAAGAACCCTAAGAAGAAAAAATTGTAAAATATTTCTTGGAAAATTTTCGCGTACCGCAACTGGCTGTAGTTGCTGTAGGAGTCAAGGGCGAAACCCTTGCGGCTGTCGGCGGCGAGCACCGCGAGCGCCGCGAGGCAGAGCAGCGCGGCCGCAACCCGCGCCACCAGCGCGGTGCGCTGCAGAACAGCCGTGCGCCGCTTGCGCAACAGGATGTCGGGCACCACCCGGTGGTCGTGCTCGACCGCCCTAGCCGGCACTCTCGGTGCCGGAGCCGGAGCCGGCCTCGGTGCGGGAGCAGGCGGAGGCACCAGCACAGGCGCCGCTGGCGCTGGAGGAGGAGGAGGCGGGGATGGATCCCATGCCCGCGGCGGCTGCGGGGGTGGCTGGAATTGCGGCTTCTTCCTCGGCGGCGGCGGGGGGCGATACGGTTTGGCGGTGCGGCCGCCGTTCCACGAGTACCATGAGCGGCCATCCCCGCCGCCGACGTGGCCCGCGGCGCTCGGGGGCACGTACTTGGCGGCCGCCGCGTGCGTCTGGGAGGAGACGACGATGGCCGCGGAGTGCGGGGGAGAGGCGGAGGAGGACTGCGGCGGGGTGGGGGGCCTCTTCTCCTCGGCCGCCCACTCGTCGCCCGCCGCGCTGTGCATCGGCGTCACCGGCGGATCCCCCGCCGCGCCCGCGCCGCCCGCCGCCGCCTCCGGCGAGCGGCGGGGCGACGGCGACGGGGAGGGCTGCGCCTCGAGTGCCATTGATTTGGGGGGAGAAGTGAGTGGTGCGGTGTTTGCTTTGCTTTTGCTTGGCCTACTAGTAGTAGTAGTTGCAAGGGAGCTTTTCAAAAACTTGGGCATTAAGATTCGCCCAAATTCCTCTGAATTCCTGGGAATTTAGCAGTTTTTCATGAATTTCATGTATTCTGGATTTCTGTTCGTATTCATGTAGATCGTGTGTACGGAGGAATTTTGTGTGTTCTTTTTGCAGATTGTTTATATATAGTAATGTTGGGAGTATCTTTTTAAAACCAAATGTAAGTGTCAAAGAATACACGAGAATATGGGGTCATCTTTTCACAAAACCTGCTGACTATCCTTGTCCGAGGAATCAAAATATTTGTAATCACCACGACGTTAATCTAATCGATTGGACACTACACTTGAGCATAAGTATAGTTATTCTGTACTCCATTTATCAGTCGCAACTATTTCTTTATTTTAGAACTTAATATTTATAGTGAGTTTCTTTATATATTTCTATTACAGTTTAATTTTTAGCATTGATTTTCAAGTCACTAAAAATATATTTATAAAAGTTTTATCCATAATTTATTTTTTATTGTTAATAAGTTTTTCAGCTTACATTCAGTTATAGATGAAACGATGAGATTGCTTTTCTTTTTAATAAAGAATAAAACGCACTTCAACATTTGCATGGAGTTGGTTGCTTGGAAACATCAATGTTCTCCCCCTTTGCAACTTTTTGACAGTAGTGCTCAACACGGTGGACGGGCAGGACGAACGAGGCTTTTCGATGGTTTCATTCTAATCTTCTTCGGTTTCATGTCAGCAATCAGTGTCCTTCTCTGCATATATATGTTATCATGTGCCATACACTCACGCTTGCATTCCATCATTAAAGATGTTAGTTGATATTACTACTAATTAATCATCTCTACATAGGCAAGATTAACAGATATCGCCTCCATTTGAGATTTGACCAATCTGTCGAGCTACAGTACTACACGTCTCATCTCTCTCTGTTTTGCTCCCTTTCAGTTTCAATTACTGTAAAGACTCTCCGAGGGCTCCTTTGAAACAAATAAAAATTGAACGAATTTTTGAGGGTTAAATTCATAGAGGAAAAAAAATCCTATTTGACTCTTTAAAACAAATAAATAGTTTAAAAAATTCATTCAAAATTCCTATGGAATAAACCATTTTCCATGGGATTTCTGGAAGAACAGGTTTCGCTCGCTTGTGTTGGAAAAAATACCCTATCTCATCATTTACCTTAACTAACACTTTACCCCCTCCAACACATCTCATGATCCAATCACTAAACACTAGGGAAGCCTTTTGCTTCCAGCATCTGCCATAGAAATGGCCATTTTATTTTATCATAGGACTTCTCAAAGTCCACCTTAAACAGAACTCCTGATTGCTTTTCATATGAACACTAGTTAAAACTTCATGCAATATCACTACTCCCTCCATGATGTTTTTTTTATTTAAGAAAAGTAGTTTGTGTTTTCTCAATTAAGTCACCTATGACATAGGTTAGCCTCTTTATCAGTGTTCTTGTTATGATTTTGAAACTAACATTAAGGAGACATATTGGCCTAAACTTCTAAATTTGTGCTGCATCTTTGCATTTAGGAATTAAGGATATAACCCCATAATTCAGTCTTTTGATATCCAAAATCATCTGATGAAAATCATCAATCATAGCTTTCAGATCATTTTTTATCACCACTCAAAAGTGTTTATAAAAATAAGCAGGGAAACCAACAGGCCTAGGTGCCTTTTACATTCCATTTCAAACACAACCTTCTTCACCTAGTAAAGGGTTTCAACAATTCCTTCTTTTGATCTTCAGACAATTGTCCCATCTTTTTCACCTCTTCCAAAGTAAAGGGTTTCAACAATTCCTTCTTTTGATCATCAGACAATTGTCCCATCTCCAAATTTTGTAATCTTATATTAGATCTTTCAGGTGGCCCAAATAGATCTTTATAAAAATATGCTATTGACGGAGCGTGGGGCTCCTCACCGGGAGACCGTGCAGGCCTCCCTTTGCCGGTTCGGCCGGGGAGCCTGGGTGAAGTTCTAAGCTCTTGGTATGTGGAAGGTTCGCGAGAGTGGAAACACACAAGACACGGGCGATGTATACAGGTTCGGGCCGCTGAGAAGCGTAATACCCTACTCCTGTGTTTTGGTGGATCGTGTATGAAGAAGCTACAAAGTGCGAGCCAGCCCCCGATCGTTCTGGGATCGTTTTTTTGTTTCTCCCTCTCCCCCCTCTCTAAGTGGGCAAGGTCCTCCTTTTATATCTCAAGGGGATACCACATGCACCATCTCTCCCTTTCCAAACTGGACTTGCCTTCTCTTCATTAATGGACGGAGATTTGTATGGTTGCCGTCCGAATGACCTTCTGATGGGACGGCCCATACCTACCTCCACTTCCGCCGGAAGCAGGCGCGACGTGGGAAAATGGCTGTCTGCTGACGACATGACCAGTGTCAGACCGGTCACAAATCGGTCATTTTTGTCCACCACGCGTCAGTTTAACAATCTGCATGTTCGCCCTTCTTCATACAATATCTTGCTTGTAATGGTTAGGATGAAGCCTGGCATATATCTGGCCGGGGCCAACGTGCCATCTCCAGGAGATAACACGCCGGCTCCGGCTAGGGACGAGTGCTTGGAGGCTCTCATCCTGACGGGATGGGGCGAGGCGTGTGTCAGACCGCCTATTGCCACCTAACCCACGATCTGACCGGTCTGTGACCGGTCACAGACCGGATAAACGAGCGCGCTGCACGGCGTTACATGCGGCGTGACGCGCTTCGTCCAAACCGCAATAAATGCGGTCAGGTGAGCCCCGCTGCGCTCACCTAACCTATACACGCGGCGCACAACCTTCAAGGGGTCGGGGCGCCTCAGCCCTCGGGGCCGAAACGGGAGCGGTCCGACCCCTCGGGGAGACAAGGAGGGGGGGCGGCCACATCACCCTCGGGCCCGACCCCCCCCCCCCCCCGCCCCGAGGGGGTCAGGCCTCGTGGGTGATTGCTCCTGCCCAAGCCTCTAGTTATGATACTCCCGGTCCCATGTCACCGACAGCTATAAAACTCAGCAACTGCTCTTGCCCAGCTATCAACACATTCTCCTGTTTCAAACAAAAAAACATATCTTTCCTCCTTCTCCCATTAGCTTTGGCATGATATTATTTAGTGTTATTATCACCTCTAACACATCTCTCTCCTTGCATCTTTGTAACCATTTTAGCATCTCCTTCCTCGTAGTAAACCTCGGTTGATCCTATCTCCCTCTCTCTTCTATGCTCACATACACCATGATTCTTACACCATTTATTTAACTCTTCTAACTCCCTCACTAATTTCTCCTTTTTCTCTCTTATACTTTCCTTTCCAATTCATATTCCAACCCTTAAGAGCTTTCCTTAAATTTCTAAGATTTTTTTTACCATTTTTCTATACTTAAGAGACCCTCCTTACTATTTCATAGGCTTTTCTCACCACATCATGTATATTTCTCTCAACATCAAACTATTTTTAAACTTAAAAGGCTTTTCTCACCGCATTATGTACATCTTCCCTCAACATCCAACTATTTTCAAACTTCTTTTTTTGGTAATTGATATGTATCCAATGGAATATGTACATGATCAGAATAAATCCTCTTTAGACTTCTTACTATTATTGTAATTAGATAATTACTCTCCCAGCTGTTAGCGACTAAGCTTCTCACACTGTATTCATTAGTTATTATACCATGTGATAACACACATACTCAACTTATTTTGATCAACAATTGCATTGAACAGAAAACTCTATTTATTATAACCTCCCTTCTTATTTTTCTCACTTTATTTTCTAATTATATTAAATTCACACCCCAACACTATTGGATAGGACTGTTTTTTGGCAAATTAAAACAAGTTTTAAAAACTCATCATTTTTTAGTAGAACCATAAACCACTATCAAATTCCAAGTAAAACCATCAGATTTATTCATTAACAGAACCCTTACTAAAAATTTCTCACAATCTTCTTCTCTAACTTCAAAAGTAAAACCATCAGATTTATTCATTAACAGAACCCTTACTAAATATTTCTCACACTCTTCATCTATAACTTCAAAAACTATTTCACATCCTTCATCTTTAAGATTCAAGAACTATCTCATTGTAGTACTCAAACTATTTATTTTAAAAGGTGATATTAGATTCTTGTCTTATTTCATTGCTTCATAACCACCAATTATACGATGAACTTATAATGTAGAGAATGAGAAGGGTGGAAAAGTGGTCAGCAATACAACATGTGTGTAGTTAAAATATTTTAACAAGAAATCATCACAAATAAACGCCTCTAATTGAAAAGATAAGATAAATCTCCGTGACTTTGCCTATCTCCGTGTGCGGTGAATCAATTATGTTAGAAACTGTTTTCTGTGAATCCTTCTAATATCCCAACCTAAGCTAATTTGGATGTAGATGTTCCTTCTCCATACTCACCAAGTCCAGATATAGAAGACCCAACCTAAAATCCATTGTGTAACTACTTGGCATGGTTTAATCTCTCGGTCCGAAATTATATAATTTTATGAATAAAATTTGATCAATTTTGAACAAAATATTACCAAATTCACGAAAAAATGAAATAAAAATAAAAATTTCGGCCGAAATAATATCGTATTGGGTTCTAATAATGTGAACCCTGGTCACCACTGGTGGATACTTGCACATATTAAATGCATTTTCAACTGGCACCATAGTCTCATCGTGTATTGTGACTTCAGTACCAACAAATACAATCCCAGCACACTTTAACATATGACTCAACATTGGTATCATTCTATGACTAACCCCCATAACAATTGTTACTAAGTGTTTTGCCAAAGAATCGATACTGAGGCAAATTGACATTTTCTAACTGCAAACCAAACATCGGAAATCGGGATGTGTGAGTCTTCTTTATAGTTCCAGAAATGCGGATAGTAAACTGTACAAGAGTTTTCCTTATCGTCTATCATAAACAAACCTATTGAAATTCAAAATTGTACTGAGATGAAATCACGGGGATATCAAAATTATATTACCTTGTAACAATACAATGATCTAACTATACAAACAGTAGATACACTTCATAGAATTTTACTTACTACATAAAGACGGAGTTAGAAAATTATAAAGAGTAGTGTTGAACTTGACTATGCACATGACTATATCTTTATATGAATTTAGGAGACCGGAGACCAGCCTAGGGCTCAAGGTCTAGTTGTCCTCTTGTCTCCAGTTAGACTGACCAATTAATGTGCAAACTCTAGACTATTACAGATAAGAATAAATGATCACATGAAAACCAGTACGGAGCTTATGATCCTTGAAGATGACAAATCCTAGTAAAAGTATTTTATGACATACTTATGTAACGATACACCAAACAAGATTTTTATGCAATTTCGTAATGCCTTACGAGCAACTAATCAAACAAGGTGAGCTAAGTAGTTAATCATCCAATAGAATGATTAGAAAACGTGCATTGGTGCATAAAATGTATAGTTTGTAAGATGATACGAATGCACCCGTACCCATTTCACTATCTCCATTTTATGTTCAGATTATGAATTTGAAGTGACATGTAGAGAATCAACTGGAAGAATCAACCGTAGTTGAGAATGGTCATGATTCAAAAAGACAGAAAAACTGGGGTGTTTAGCGAAGGAAATTAGGTGAAGTACTATGTTTTGGTTTTTATACTCGTACAGTTAGACTATTACATAGTGGAATGTTAGCTGATTAAACAAAATGGATGTTATTTGGCCAGTAAAATATTGATAACTGCCAACCTATTTATAAGTGAATGTATCAAATGCACAGTTGTTTTTGAACAACTGCTAGTAGCATCTGTAGGGTTTATTCCAAGTTTAAATCAACCATAAAGAGCAGCTCGAGCATATGCTTAATGTGTATAAGTTAACAAGAGTATGTTGTGAGATTATACTGTTTTCTCTCATGAATGCGCAATTTAGTTCCTTTTTTGGGTGAAAAATATATATAGTTACTCCATCCATCCCATAATATAGCAACCTGGTACCGGATGTGACATCTCATAATACAATGCAGATTCATTGTATTATGAGATGTTCCATCCAGTACTAGGTTGTTATACTATGGGACTATGGGACGGAGGGAGTTTTTTTTTTTCTCTATTGCTCACAGGCAGCATGCTAGTGTCAGGTTTGACATGTAGAGTAGCATTACTATTGTCCAGTAGTGTTGAATTGTTCTAATTTTCGAATAATATTTCTTTCTAGCTTGGTAGGTGTACACCTAAGTTTCTTCTACTGACGCTCTATAGTTTCTTTCTAGCTCTAGTAGTACTGTTGAATTGTTCTAACTTTTCCATTTTCTTAAATAAGAATTTAATCATTTTAGTAGTACAGAGAACAAGTGAGATTTTGGGAGGATCGCTGGGTGGGTGACAACTCCTTTGATAAGTTGTATCCCTCACTCTATTTACTAACAAGAAATAAGCATGCGAGAGTGAGCGAAGTACTGGGCAATGTTCCTCTAAATGTGTCCTTTAGAAGGGCGTTGGTGGGGGTAACCTGAATGCATGGTACAAACTGGTAGCCAAGGTGGCCTTGTTTAACTTATCTAATAGTCCAGATTTTTTTTAAGATGGGAATCCAATGGGAGGGGAGTCTTCTCGATGGGTTCTATGTATAAGGCTCTTATGTAACATAATGTGGTACCAAGATCTTTAATCTGAAAGCTCAGAATTCCACTTAGGATTAAGATTTTCCTTTGGTATATCAAAGAAAGAGTACTCTTAACAAAAGACAATTTGGTTAAAAGGAGATGGAAAGGAAGTACTAAAGAATCTTGATTGTCATGTTGCACAGTTGGTTTGGAATGCTCTTTTCATGGTCCTAGGAATACAAGTGCCTACTTCTGCTGCTAATCTTCTAGGAATACAAGTGCCTACTTCTGCTGCTAATCTTCTAGGTGGTTGGTCAAGGGGCTTAGTACCTAACCTTAGAGATCAACTCTTCGTGGGAGTTGCAGCTATCTCTTGGGCACTTTGACTTGCTAGGAATGATGTAGTCTTCAATGGCTAAAATATTAACTCTCTCTTGCAGGTTATTTTTAGGGCGACACACTGGGCTCGCTAGTGGTCTTTGCTTCTTAAAGAAGGTGATGAGGAAGCCGTGAAGATTGGGTGCCAAAAATTGAAAGTTATCGTTATAGAATTCTACTCAAAATCTGGGTGGAATTGGAGAGGAAGATTGAATTGTTAGTTGAAATCTTTTGTTGTGAGACTTGTTCTGATGTCTTTGTCGTCCGCCTGCCTCCTATGGTGGCGTTTGCCTTTGAACTTGTTTGTAAGCCTAAGTGATTGACGATGTAATACTGGGGTGATGCTAATAGGCGCGTACGCGCTGCGAAGCAAAGTCGCAGACGCGCAGATGCTGCCAGTCCCGCACGAGCACCTTCCGAGCCTTCCACTAATATCTGTGTTAGTGCTAATCTTTAGCGGTTTACACTAATTGATTTTTGTAATGAAATGATAAATAAAATAGTTGGGTTGAAAATTTTAAAATACGAATTGAAAGTTTAGTTGAAAGTTTTCAAATTTGAGTGTAAAGTTTTCGAATTTGAGTTGAAAGTTTTCAAATTTTGACTTGAAAGTTTTTGATCTTGAGTTGAAAATTTTCAAATCTTGACTTAAAAGTTTTAAATTTTCAATTGAAAGTTTTCACATTTGAGTTGAAAATTTTCAAATCTTGACTGAAAGTTTTTAAATTTAAGTTGAAAGTTTTCAAATCTTGACTTAAAAGTTTTCAAATTTAAATTGAAAGTTTTAAATTTTCAGTATAAAGTTCATTCGAATTTCAATTTTTTTTCATACACTGTGTATATAAAATGATATGAAGCTAATCACGTGAGATAGAAAAGAGAGACAAAAACAAGTCAGACGTGCTTGCTTCCGCTTCTGTGGGCCGGCGTGGGCTTAGCCCCATGCACCGATAAGCATCTCGCGCATACGCGGATGAGAATGTGGGCCTCGCGCGAGTTGTGTTGATGGCGCGTGCGCGCCCATTAGCAATTTCGGTAAAATACTGTGGTTGTGTACATTCTTCAGGATGTAGAGGCTGGGTTTTATTTAATCCATTATCAAAAAAATGAGAATAATCATGGAATATTGTTTGTTTTTTATCACAGACGAATGGAGTACTAGCCATGTCGACCTATGAAGCTAAAGCTTAGCCACCAGAATCACCAGCAGTGATCTTGAACTGGTTGTGAATTTTGTGATCTCGAAGTTACTCTGCTTGCCCCTGGGTGAACAGATCAATGAACTACCGATCGTGTTGGAGAATTAGTTTGTTTTGTTTCTACTCCTGATTTCATCGTGCCGCGTGACGCTTACAAGTCGCTAGAACTGCTATTTACCTCTACTTACAATTTCTGAATGTTGTCAGTGTACGTGTACATACGACTTTAGATTGACCTTGGATTTTCATAAATTCCCAACACCCATGTACTTGTAGCAAACTTAGCTAGTAGAAATGAAATTTTGATTTAAGGATAAGGATCCATATTATCCATTAATTGGGTGTTACAGCATAAATAACTAAACTCGACATTTTACTTATTTCTTCAACATGTAGCAATTTCAGGCGTTGTAGCAGATGCTGACGGGCGGTCGTCACTTCCTAGTTCTTCTCCTTGTAACTGTTGCAGCTATCGACACAAGCTGCAACATCAGCATCTGTTGCCCGTGCTGCTAGCCATAATAACCCAAAAAAAAAAAGTTAAGATGCAAACACATGCGAGATCGCATGAACACACGTTCATAACTATGAGTTTGCAACATTATCATATATTAATATATATGGAGGAGCCTGTCAATTAGTAATTTAGTATTACTTTTATTTTTTTAATAGATAACACCATTAGCTTTTTTCATATGTTTGATTATTTGTCTTATTAAAAAATTTATGTAATTATAATTAATTTTGTTGTGAATTGTTTTATCACACAAAAATATTTTAAGTATGATTTATATTCTACTATATATTTACATAAATTTTTCCTATAAAACAAATGATTATAAATTTTTCCTATAAAACGAATGATTAAACACATACTTAAAAATCAACCGTGTCACTTATTAAAACCCCGAGGTAGGACTAAGTCTGCAGACTAATGAAGGACCGCATAATCTTACATTCTCCGGTTGCCGCATCCCCGATCGACGACGTGCAGAGCTCCCTGCAGCCTGCATCTCCGGCGAACACCGGCGCCGCCGCCGCCGCCGTCGACTCGCCGCCTCGGGTACAGTTGTGAATCGGCTTCAAGACGCAGCAGGTGAAGCAGAAGAGCTTGCAGCCAGCTCGAGAACTGCCTTGCTCGCAGTCAGGCAAGCAGTCATCGTAGCATCTGCCGATCTCGGACTCCGCTGACGCCAGCTGCAGCTGGCCTGACGTCAGCAGGATGAGCAGCAAGATGCAGGCAGCAGCAGTAGCTGCCACCACTCCATTCCTCCCCATTGATTCTTTGGTCTTGTTCAGTCCTGATGCAAAGCCAGAGGCAGAGATTGGATTAAGTGTAAAAAAACTGAACAAATTGCTAGCTCACATGAACTGAGAAGAAGACCTTGGTGAAGCTTGCTGAATAATTGTTGTTCTACTGCTGAGATAGAACCTGAGACATTTTATACTAGCATTGAGGGCTTGAAGAAGTAAATGTTCTTTGGAGAAGTTTTCTCCAAATATTACTGTGATAACTGATCTATCATCCTGATTAGCCTAGTTCCACAAGAAGCATTGCTTCTTTGTTGCAACTGCATGCGCCCCCAAATTCCGTTCTGGAAATTCTGTTTCTCACCTGACCATACTTGGAACAATGTCCAGTACTTCACATGCTTGCCAGATTCCAAACATGAACTGAATTACAAATTCAGAGAAACTGCCTGACAAATATAACTCGAAACCATTGGTTCATTGGTTGCAGGGAACTACACGCATCAACCATTCCCCGTTTCGAGTTTGCATACTGTTGATAATTAACAGAAACCTTATTTTACCATCCATAGAAATAGGAAGTAGCTGCAATCCACATTGAAATACGAGTGTTGCATTTTATTCTAGGAAAATTTAAGCCTGGGAAGCAATAATTCAACATGCATACTACTCCCTCCGTCCCACAATGTAAGTGATTTTCAGTTTTTACTTGTAACGTTTGACCACTCGTCTTATTCAAATTTTTTTATAAATATAAAAAACAAATAGTTGTGCTTAAAATACTGTAGATAATAAAGTAAGTCACAAATAAAATTATTAATAGTTTCAAAAAATTTTGAATAAGACGAGTGGTCATACGTTGCAAGCAAAAACTCAAAATCCCTTATATTATGGGACGGAGGGAGTACAAAATATGAGTAGCATTTACTTATATCTTGAGTACAAACAATCGGGTAGGTACGTATATTTAGCCGTATAAAATGGGTGAAGGAAAAAAAAAAGTTTGACTAGTCAACCATCCTATCCGACCCCATGCTCGTCTGCCACGTGGCCCAGTAACTAAATGGGCCGTACAAGTTTCACTTATCCACCGCGACATCGAATTTTTTTTATTTATAATTTTTTTTATTAAAAGTTTTACAAAAATAATTTTCCATTTTGAAAATTGACGGAAATAGTCGCCTACCGCCCTCTGGGAGGGCGATTTTTAAAAATCGCCCTCCCAGAGGGCGGCGAAAATGACGTGGCAGACGGCCGTTCGCTCTCGGGCGACGGCCGTCAACGAAATTTGCAGGCGGCCCCCTTGCCGCCCTTCGCGAGGGCGATTTTCTACTGTGCGGGGGGCCGCCTGCAAATGGGCGGCGAGGGGGGGCATGGAATTTTGCAGGCGGCCCCCTTGCCGCCCTCCGCGAGGGCGATTTTGTACTGTGCGGGGGGCCGCCTGCAAATGGGCGGCGAGGGGGCATGGAATTTTGCAGGCGGCCCCCTTGCCGCCCTGGGGGAGGGCGATTTTTGCCTCCCCCCTATAAAGCCCAGCCCCTCCCCTGTGAAATTTCATTATATTCACTAAAAATCCAAAAAAACGAAAGAGAGAGAGAGGGGAGGGCAGCAGAAGGGGAGCGGCGAAGCCCTGCTGGTTCGCTCACTTCATCACAGGTATGCTCCCATACATCTTTTGCATTTGTACTAATATATTACGTTTGAGTACATATGTTGCGTTTTAGTTTTAGTTCCATATATTTTAGCAGATCTGTAGCACACAGCACATATGTGTAGATCCAGAGCATAGAATATAATAGTATGAATTGAGACATAGACAGTAGTGTTAATTGTAAGATGTAGTTTAGTTTGATCTGGAGAATGTAACCTACTTTTAGAAATTTAGAGAACAATATTGTAGAGAATGTAACTTAGGGCGTAGTACAGAAATGCGAGGTTAACGCAGTTATTGTTTTCATCAGGCACAATGTCAAGTAAGGTCACATTTCAGATAGTTCACGGTGAAGGAAATATTAGATTTGGTCCAGATGGTGTTGATCTGTTAGATTTTGTAATGACATCTAAGGGCATCGATAGGCCTGCGGAGAGAACATTTGAGTCAATTTATAGTTGGTTGTTGAGAGGATTTAGAATAGACCAAGAAGTCTACACAATGTCAGTATCTGTTGTAGTGAGTCGTGCAATAGAAGGTTATTTTTGGGAACTAATGCCGATGGACAGCACTGCTGCTTGGAGACGGTATGTGGAAATGGCTTTTGAACGGTCATGGCCCCTCGTTATATTTGTGTCGGTACAAGAGAAAGATACAAATGTTTCAATGCAAACCGAAGATGTGGAGGGTCCTAGCAATGCAGGGGATGTTGTTGGACCATCGATGCAAAATGAGGAAAATCAACCAAGGGAGGAGCAGGCCATGGGCATGGCGGATGAGGGGGAGAGAGTCGGTATAATTGTTGATGAAATGGAGAGGGAAGATTCGGATAATGAGCAAGCGGAGGACGACGCATCATCCGATGAGGAAGGTGATGTAATGGCCACTGATTGGGCAAATGAGGACTTCTCTGGTCTTGTTATATCAGAGGGTGATCATGTACCCTGGGAGTATAAGGAGAACGAGGTAATTGAGGGTGCAAGGTATGCTCATAAGGATGAGATGAAGGAGGCGGTGAAGCATTGGGCAGTTTCATTGCAGAGAGAGTTTAGGGTGGTCAAGTCAACAAATTATGTGTATGAAGTGAGGTGCATGAAGGAAGAATGTCCGTGGCGTGTCCATGCATATAAGGGTAAATGGAATGATTATTGGAAAGTTAGCATTGTGACCGAGCACAAGTGCTACTTACAAGGGGTGGAGAAGTATCACCGAAACATCACTTCAGCTTTTGTGGCAAGTGAGATGTACAGCAGTGTTGTTGGTAACATTGGCTTTGAACCAAAATCAATTATTAGGCACATCGAGAACAAATTCAAGTACACCATAAGCTATGCAAAGGCCTGGAGAGCCAAACAAAAGATCATTGAGATGAGGTATGGCACATTTGAAGCTTCTTATGATAATTTGCCTCGTTTGTTAGCCACCATTGCCCAGAGGAATAATAATACTTACTATGACCTACATACATTTACATCGGTTGAAGATCGAACAAAGAGTGTGCTGCAAAGAGCCTTTTTCTCATTGGGTGCTTGCATCAATGCTTTTGTGCATTGTCGACCTGTTCTATGCATAGATGGAACTTTTATGACAGGTAAATACCGAGGTCAGATATTGACAGCAATTGGGTGTGATGGGAACAACCAGGTTCTACCTATGGCTTTCGCATTTGTAGAGAGTGAGAACACTGAAAGCTGGTACTGGTTCCTAGAGAGAGTGCACATTGCAGTGGTGCGTATGAGGCCCAACGTTTGCCTTATACATGATCGTCATGCGGGTATGTTGCGGGCTATTGACTACTTGCAGAACGGTTGGGATGAGAAGGGACTTCCAGCTAAGTGGCCTGATGTTCGGAGTCGGTGGTGCATGCGTCACATGGGTGCAAATTTCTATAAGCAATTCAAGAACAAGCATCTTATGGATCTCTTTAAGAGGCTCTGTGCACAGAACCAAGAGAAGAAATTTAATGAGTTGTGGGACAAGTTGGATGAGTTGACAACGAAGCAAACAGATGAGCAATCTCGCAGACCACAAGTTGAAGGTGACGAGCCTCCCATACCTCTTGGTGCATTACATGATGACCCACCAACAATGAGAAGGAGGTCAGGGTCGGCCATCAGAAATTTCTCTCAGTGGATTGAGAATGAGCCTAAGGAGAAGTGGGCTCTATTGTTCGACACCGATGGATCTCGGTATGGCATAATGACAACCAATTTGGCAGAGGTGTACAACTGGGTAATGCGAGGAGTTCGGGTACTTCCATTGGTTGCTATTGTTGAATTCATCCTTCACGGCACGCAAGCCTACTTTAGGGATCGATACAAGAAAATTGGTCCGTCCATGGCCGATAACAACATAGTGTTTGGCAACGTAGTGACAAAGTACATGGAAGATAAAATCAAAAAGGCACGGAGACATAGAGTTGTTGCTCAAGGCACACAAGTGCATCGGTATGAAATAATGTGTGTTGATAGGAGCAGGCGTGGTATCTATCGCAAGCAAGCCGTGCAGGAATGTGTCTTGAAGGCGGATGGTGGATGTACCTGCAGTTGTATGAAGCCGAAGCTTCATCACCTTCCTTGCTCACACGTTCTTGCTGCTGCCGGTGATTGTGGCATATCTCCCAATGTGTACGTCTCAAATTATTTCAGGAAAGAAGCAATCTTTCATACATGGAGTGAGGAGATATATGGGTTCGGGATCTCAGGATCTTACACAACGCTGAGTGCCCAAGTTTTTTATATTCCAGATCCATCTAAGTTAAGGGTGAAAAAGGGTCGACGCCAAACTAGACGCATCAGAAATGATATGGATGAGTCAGAAGCAGGTGGGAGGACTTTACGCTGCAGCAAGTGTGATCTGCGCGGCCATACTTACAAGAAATGCCCGAAGAATGCAGAAGTTCCAAGCGGCGCTGATGCTAGTCCATCTGGACAGGCAAGTGATGGTAGGCGACCACCTGGTGAAGGAACAACAAGCAGGCGCGCAAGGCCAAGGCGTCGTCGCGCAGCAGGCGATTCCATGGTGTAACAATGCTTTCGATTTAGGAAATAAAATGATGTAATGAGTGTTCGGACTAAATACTTCTATCGTGTAATTTCAATTCAATCTTGTTGTAATGAGTACCTCCGACTATTGTTGTACTAGTAGTATTGCGAACTATTCGGTGTTGTATCATAATGTTATCGTGATGAGTGTTCGGACTAAACACTTTTGTTTGTTTGTACTCTTGTTTAATATGTGTTAGTAATTCGCTTATGAACATTTATTACTTATGTTGAACTAATTATTTATATGTTTCTGATCAACCTATTTGATGCAGGTATGGCGTACGACACACCGGCGCTGTTGAACCGTGGGATTGACAGGAACCACCGCTCGTTCCTGTCAGCAGTCGAGGGTGCACAGCTCGGCACCTTCCGTCCACGCACGTCGCGCGAGTGGTTGCGTGTCGACCCCCGTCACGTTCCTTGGTACGCGTATGTTCACATTTGAACTCAACTTTGCTTTGTTTTGCACTTATGTTTGAAGTTTGCTCTATACAGGTTGCGTGTGGCAGGCCTTCTACCACTTTGTAGGCTTGTTGAGGCGGCGGCGGACGACCGTGACCCAGCGAAGCGGTGGGATGCAGACCGGTCACTCCTTGCCGCTCTTGTAGACCGCTGGAGACCTGAGACGCACACGTTCCACCTTCCCTGTGGGGAGATGGCTCCGACACTGCAGGACGTGTCGTACCTGCTCGGGCTACCGCTGGCGGGAGCACCAGTTGGTCCCGTCGACGGTGTTTTTGGGTGGAAGGAGGATATCACTGCGCGCTTCGAGCAGGTGATGCGCCTTCCACACCTAGGACCGACCACCACCCTTCCTCCGTACTCTACAGTCGGGCCTAGCAAGGCTTGGTTGCTCCAGTTCACTGTAAGTAAATAAGTTGTTATTATCATACATGCTTATTTGCGACCGGATGAGTGTTTTGTACTAACATTTCATTCTTAACTGTAGGCGGACCTTCTGCACCCTGACGCTGATGATTACTCGGTCCGACGCTCCCTTGAGGCGTACCTGTTGTGGTTGTTCGGGTGGGTGATGTTCACTAGCACCCACGGGCACGCTGTGGACTTCCGGCTGGTCCACTACGCACGGTCCATCGCGGATGCTCAGCCACAGGACGTGCCGCAGTGGAGCTGGGGTTCTGCCGTGCTAGCAGCCACGTACCGTGCCCTCTGTGAGGCGTGCACGAAGACTGACGCGGGAGCGATCATCGCTGGCTGTCCTATGTTGCTTCAGCTTTGGGCAGCCGAGAGGTTTGCCATAGGGCGACCAGTGGTGGACAGCGCACCCTACGGGGTTGGTCGCAGCGCGCAGTGGCCAGAGGACGGTCCCACGATGGGGACTTACTGGTGTCGACGTGGGGTTAGTGCAACTTCGCTGCGTTATAAGTTTATCAGTCCTCTTCTTTTTTTTTCCTTCACATAACATGTCTAATTCCGATCATGTTTATTGCAGCGTCGTTACGCTCACGTCCAGGTGAGACGTGGTTACCCGGACTTCGTGTTCGAGTTTGACCGTCTCCAGCCGAGCGACGTCATCTGGGAGCCGTACACAGAAGAGGCCGTCGCTGCGAGAGCACCGCTAGGACTTTCGTCCTTGTGCACACGCGACCAGGCTTACTGGCTCACCATCCTGCCGATGGTGTTCGACATTTTCGTTGAGCCTCACTGCCCGCAGCGTGTGATGAGACAGTTCGGACTTAGGCAGGTGTTTCCGGGCAACGTGCAGCCGACCGTCCCCCCTGCCGACCACTCGTGAGTTCGGATTGTTCATTTCTAAATTTTTATGATAATTACATCATCGAGCCATACAATTTACCTCTCTTCACAGGTTGACTCGACGGGGACAGCTAGCAGGCGCACTTTGGGCTCCACGTGTACAGCAGTACGTTGACGACTGGGTGTTAGCTACAGAGGAGGTGATCAACGAGCTCTTCCCACACACGGAGGAGAACTACCGTGACTACCTTCGCTGGTACCTTCCTCGCACTCGTGCGCGTGTGACCTTCACTCCAGACGCCCCAGAGCCGCACGTTGCCGCTGTCACGGACGCGTATCCCACGCACCGTGACCGAGACTACTTTGTGGCGGTACGTCCAATTTGTATTACTTCCAACAATTATGTCATTTATCTTGCATAATATAGGACAACTACTGAATTTTTTATTTCCATCTTGCATAGGCTGATGCGGCACGGGATATCAGTGCCGATATCACCGCAGTCCAGGTGAGGTTGAGCAGAGGTTTGCACTTGACTGACGTTGAGCAGAGGTCGACCTTCGACCGGATGCAGGAGAAGATGCGTGCGGTCATGCGCGTCTTCTCCTGTCGCAGCGCCGTGGACGTCGTACCTCCAGCTGGTCCGGTACACCCACGGCCTCGCGGTCCTACCGTCGGAGCAGGACCTCGTTTGTCTTCGAGCGCCCCTAGCTTCGGAGCAGTGCGACCTACAGCACCAGTTTCGCATGGTACAGTTCAGCCCAGATATTAGTTCATTTTTGTTTCAGCTTTTGCACGAATGTGTCACCATGTTTTAACTACACGTTTCCTCATCGCAGGACCTCGTATGCCTTCGAGCGCGTTCGCAGGCACGACCGGCGCTTCCGCGAGCTCCGCAGGGGCGTTCGCCACCTCTTCGGGCGCGTTCGCCAGCTCTTCCTCTCACGGAGCGTCGATCCCTCGCCCACACGGTACTTTACTTTTTATTAATACTGTTAAATACCTGTACGAAACTGATGGTCCTTGTCCAGCAGGATTTGCAGCCGGGATCTTCGGTACTGGGGCCTCTTCGTCTCACGCCGGTAGGACTGGTCCTACTAGCCAGTTCTACGACGACGACTTGCACGGTGCAGACCACCAGGACGTACTAGGCTCCTCTCAGCTTGGAGGAGCTCCAGAGGCGCACACTCAGGAGCAGCCAGAGGTCACACCTGTACAGGCAGGACGGGTTGGCCGTGCCGTACCCCCGGACCGACTCACGTACTCCCAGGGGCACATTAGGGCGCAGGGTAGGAGGGACAGGGGTAAGAGGCCTCGTCAGTAGTGTTCTACCTCTTCAGTCCTTATGTGACCGTTTCTTTTGGCTTACAAACTTGTAAAGCGGTACTACTTTTGCTATTACTACTGCAGTACTACTTGTGTTTGTCTCGTCTACGTAGTTCTTTTCATTCGTATGGTGCTTGAACAACTTATGCTCACAACAACACACTTTCGGCGCTTCACGGTAGTGCCATATCCAGTAGCGCGCACAGTCCACAACAGCACACATGAAAAGCGGCAGCTCGAGTTATCACTATCAACTTTCGGCGCTGCCTGTTGACATAAAGTGAATCACGCCCACGCGTGATCGTCTTGTCACATCTAATGAATAATGTATCTCATTGAGTTCACATATATTGCAGTGAAAACGACGCTATATAATTGACAATCTGAAGGCAACCTCTTCATATCTTCTTTCCCACTACCACACCACACACGAAAATGGAAGCCTATTAATTGGTAATACGTAATCTAGAATTGAGATTATGTACAACATTCTTCACTACAATTTTACATTTTGGCAGCAAACCAAATATGATCAAATGCAATTTTACCTTACCAAATATTTGGTAGTGCCAAAACTTGCTTATATTTTGGCATTAACAAAATATTTGTACGGTAACATTCCAAATATGCCCTAAAAAATAATAAAATTGTATTTTACCAGTCTTGGAGATTTTAATCTTGTATAGTTTTCAATATAAAAAGATTTGATAACTATTGATATTTATATAAAAAAAATATAGAGCACAGTACAAAATCGCCCTCCCCCAGAGGGCGGCAAGGGGGCCGCCTGCAAATTTCGTTGACGGCCGTCGCCCGAGAGCGAACGGCCGTCTGCCACGTCATTTTCGCCGCCCTCTGGGAGGGCGATTTTTAAAAATCGCCCTCCCAGAGGGCGGTAGGCGACTATTTCCGTTAATTTTCAAAATGGAAAATTATTTTTGTAAAACTTTTAATAAAAAAAATTATAAATAAAAAAAATTCCGCGACATCGGCCAATACGGCCCACATAAAAGCCCAAGCTTCGTGCATGCGGCGGCCCACAGCAGAAAGTACGTCTGACACCTCCGGCGATCGACCACCGGGTTCCGCTCGCCGGCAAAGTCGCCGTTCCACGTTCCCGCCGCCGGCGCCGCCACCGCCGGCCGTAAGTTGAATCTGCCTCCGAAATTCATCGGCTCGATCTGTTTTAACTGTTTTAGAGATTATCTCCATTATTATTGTTATTTTTTTCCGTTTTTGTTTCTGAGCATTTCTTCCTCAGTTCAGAGCTAACCGTGTCACAGTTACTAGACAAGCTGAACGAACTCAATTTTGAATTTCTAGTTACTCGAGGATAATCTGATTACCGAGTGATAATCCACGGTATATACATCATTATCTCTCCTTCCGAATCGCATGTTAGAGTAGAGGATAGTGCTAATTAACTAGAGGATGAGATAAGCCGTTGGACACATTCCTGCATGCAATGCAAACGCAAAGCAAGTGTGATCCATCCATGCGTGAGGATCGGAGTACGTGTTTATCTGATGGAATCCGCAGATTCCTCCGGAATCAGCAGCGATTTCTCCCTCCCTCCCGATGAATCGCCGCCATACTCTCCTCCCCTCTATATAAACCCCACCCGCGGGACTACGTCATCATCCTGCCACTCTACAAAGAGCTTAATTAGCTAGCTAGTCTCTTCGATCTGCTTCTCTCTTTGGTTTCCATGGCTTCTTCTCGGGTTGTCGTCGCGGTGGCGCTGCTCGTGGCGGCGGTGCTCGCCGCGTTCGGTGCGCTGGCGCCGGCGTGCGAGGGCGCGAGGGTGATGCGCGAGGGCGCCGCCGTCGTCGGCAAGATGTCGAGCTACCAGCCGCCGGTGAGGCATAAGCCTCCCGTCCCGCCGTCGGGGCCGTCGCACAGGCACAACAAGAGGGCGACAGTCCCGAGGAAGAGGAAGCACTTCCCGCCGTCGGGCCCGTCGTACCACGATCCGCACAGCTGAGCTCCGGCGATCGTCGTGCGCGGCCATGGAAAGACGGCCGGCCAGTCAGCATCTCTCTCTGCAGTAGCTTCATTAATTAATTGATTTAATTAGTTAGGAATTATAATAATAATAGCAGGAGAGATTATCTAGCTTAATTGTTATTTCCTTCTTTTGATTAGTTTGGTAGGTTAATTTGAGGTGTAATGCAGGTATTGTTAATTAGCATTTCGTATAGAAATGCGCATGATACATGCATGCCATTTAGTTTAATTTTTAGATGTTTCTCTACGAATTATTCATTTTCTTAAATAAAGTTACTTTGCTTATTAATTAGTTATTAATTGGGTTAAATCTCTACTATCTTAAAAATGGAGTCGTTCTTCTTCCATTCTCTCATCCTACATAGCACATACTAATTACACATGGAGGTGAGAAAAACATTATAGGTGCTGATTTTAACTGTTTCGGCACCTATAGTGTTGATCTCTATATATATTTTAGTAGTAGTAGTGACGTTACACGGAATACTGGTAATATTATAAAAATCTCATTTACGATTTAATTATTTGCCCTCGTAATATTGAAACACTAATTCATACGCTAATTCATGTATCTTTGGAGACGATTTCTGCCGACCGTTGCTACTCTTAATTAAAATGGGTTTTCTAATTGCATCTGAACAAAATTCACTCAGCCTCAAGATTAATTTCTTTAGTGAAATGTTCACTTAAATAAGGGTTTATTTTATTTTCATCACTAGCAAAAATAATAGATGAAACAAATTATATAACAATCCGTGACAAATCTTTTAAAATGTTAGAGGATTAATTTTTATGGAAACTGAACTAATTCTTATGAAAATCATATAACCCAAATATTTCTTTCCCAACTAGCAAAATACCCAAGCTCTGCTACAGATAAAATATATTATATTATAATATGTAATAGACAAAATAAAAATATCAAATATATTATTATCACTTATATGCATGTTTGAATATATGGTATTCACGTGTTTTAACTAAATATTTAAACTATTCCATAATATTAGAAAATATCAATGGTAAATTTGTAAAAAGTTATAAACAGTGCTGGCGTGACAGACTTTTAAATGAGCATAGATGTGACACGATCCAAACATTTTTTTAAAAAAAATAAAATAAATACACCCACACCGCCACACGAGGTCTTGTGCACGTACTAGCCTGCAAGCTGCTATATAAATATACCACAAGGAAGCAAAGAGAACTGAGGCGCGTCTCGCACTCTTGCTCCCTTCTCCCTCCTCGACTGATCACTGATCGATCGATCGATCGCCATGGCTCCTCCTTGCCGCCGTCCGTACGCCGTCGTTGTGCCAGCGGTGCGGGTCGCCGTGCTTGTCGTCGTCGTCGTCGTCGTCTTGCTCGTGCTGCTCTGCGGACCATGCGACGGCGGCGCGAGGCACATGCTGCAGGAGGAGAGTGGTGGCGCGTGGGCGCGGCGGTCGCCGGAGCCCGGCGCCGCCGGCGTCCTGCACCGCCGGACGTCCGACTTCCTCCCGCCGTCCGGCCCGTCGGAGCGGCACAACGCTCGCCTCGACGCCGACGTCGCCGAGCGCGGCCAGAGCTCGCCGCCGGCGTCGCCCTGACGATCGACCATGTGTGCAAGCTGCTCATGAATATTAATCTACTCTCTCCTCTTCTCTTCTGATTCAGTGAAAGTTTGGAAATATATGTGTGAATTATTTCAGATGTTTTCTATCCCGAGTGTGATAATTCAGCTGGATTCTACTCTGTCATCTGTCCATTGAAAGATGTATATATATTTGCAGAGATTCAGAGACCAAGAATGTCTGGCTTTCTGAAACTTCAAAGATGTTTATTCTTGGCAGAGATAAGACTGTATTTGGTTGATATTTTGTTCATCTAGCATGCTTGCATAGTTGCATGAAACTATGGAACATTTGTTAGTTTAATTCTGTCCTATTAAGTTGTTGGCATTATTGTAGACTTGCTGCACATGGTGGAGTGGTTGTTCAGTTATGTGATACATATTCAAGTAAGCTAGATATCAGCAGGTGACTAGGTCTTCCCTGTGCATCATCTAGTCATGCTGCTCTAATGATTCTATCCTGAACTAGATAGATAGATTTGATATGCTTAAATGATGCTCAATGATGATGTAACTGTTGCATAATGCATATATACTTGCAGTTGTATTAGTTAAAAAAATGCTAAAATGTTGTGGATTAGGCTCTGCATGTAGATCGTGTTGGTGTGTCACTGGCCAGAGCTTGCAACAGATTTACCTGCTCCCACTCACCACTTTTGCACTTCACACCAGTATGCTGCATGTAACCTGTATGCATGCAGCTAGCCAGTTCCCCCCAACTGAATGCTAGAAATGATATGAAATTGCACATGCAATTCTGGGATAATATGGCATGCATTGACATAATTTACCAATTACCATTGAGATCTGTTGATTTTGTTCTGAAACGGTAATATGGTACTAAGGTAAAAAAGTGCCAGATTGTTCATATGGCAGATAGAGTCATCACACACTGCCAGGCTATGAGGAAAATGCATGTACAACAAGCCGAGTTGCCAAATTTGGCCTCGAATTGACAAAGACAACTCATTTCTCCAAGCTTGATGCTTTTGGAAGATGATCAATAGGTGATATAAGCTAAGAGCCTAGAGTATCAGCTCATAGATATAGGCAAGGATCCATGATACTGATGGTATAAACAGTTATTGGAATTTGGAATTGCATCAAGATCATGGCCGGCTGAACGCTGGTTACTGATGCCCTAGGAGAGCATCCTGGTCACATTATCTGACAACTCATAGACAACCTCTTCCATGTCCTCAGAGATACCATTCTCCTTCAGAGTGAAAAAAAAAAAGGCAAAGTGAAACAGAGTAAAACTTAGTCAGACCCACAAAAACAAAGATACGAGGGAAAAAATGCACTGATAATTTACTCATAAGATTTACCAAGTGTCAGGCTAAAATTTAAGCACTGTCATCATACTGGCAGTAGGCAAATACCTTCGGGCCTTTATTCCCTCTAATGATGCACGTTGAAGCACTGATACTAGCACTCTTTAAATAGATCTTAGGATTGGAGTTTAGATTGATTATGCCATTTGGATAAGCAGATGCACGATTCTTGCCCTTTTCTTGTGATCTTGGGGGACTTATCATAGTTCGGGCAATAGAAGATATCGCTCTCCTCTCTTCATTGTCAGAGTCTTGATTATTGCTATCTACTGATGAGCATACTCTTTCCCTGTCACATGATTTTTTTTGTAAAGAAGCAAGCAGAACAAGAACCACATAAGATTCTCTGTTCAGATAAAAAAAAGGATTTTAGGCAATTTTAAGTTTCAGGAGCTAGTGAATTCCAGCTATATACCTTGGCAAAGACGCATGCTGTCTCCGCAAGGGGGTACTTCTTTCTCCTCTGCTGTAGTTCTCCTCAAGATGAGCAAACTGCCGTTTGAAACGATCAACCCCACTGTAAGGAGTTAGTATTAGCAAAAGAGACATGGATAAGGGTGTTGGTTATATCACCTGCCAGCACTATCAGCATGAAAATATATACAAATTATGTTTTTTCACTATCGTAAAACAATCATATTCCCCGGAGAGTAGAAAATAAAGCAAACCAGCTAGGTATGAAGAAATAAAGCACCACCGAATGAACAATACTTTTTTTAAAGCACGCCAGCAAACTAGATTTAAAAACTAATTTGCTCACCTTGGATAGAGGAAGCTAATTTGTTCTCCACCTCTGATGTACTCCTGAAGCATTTGGGGATGGTACTCTAATATCTGTTTACTTTCAGAAAATAAAAAAGTAATTTTGAGTGAGATGGATTTATCAGCCAGCCCATAACATAAAATGGAGCGGTAGCTTTGTACCTCTCGATATATCATTTCTCTTACATCATCCTTTGTCAGTTTCCTTCGCTCAAATTCAAACTCAAATTTTGAAACTGGCAGTCTTGAAGGCTCCCGGCTCAACTTAGAAATTCCTCTAAAATATGGATCAGCTAAAGCCTAAAGTAAGTAGGAAAGGTTATGCTTACTCATCAGAAATCACTTGTGAAATTAATTGGACATAAAATAAGAGGGAAAATTGGAACCATGCCATTATAATTTTGTAAAATTTGAGATATGCCATCCTGACCCACACGTCATTGACTCATGTGGGTCTTACATGTTATTGAGATACCGATGGCATATCTCAAACTTTACAAAATTATAATGGCATGGTTCCAATTTACCCAAACCTTTTCCACCAAAAGAAAATACCTCTTCAGCAGTAGGTCGATCTTTAGGATCAAATGCAAGTAAACGCTCTAGCAGGCGCAAAGCGAGAGGATCAGCATTATGAAACTTATGAGAAAAGGGGATAGGATGTTTCCTCTGCATGCCAGTTAAATATCCCCTGGCATTCTCATTACGAATCTGCAGGTGTTATATTAAATATTAAAGAAATCATTGCATGAATACTCATGTGTCTCTGCAAGACATGTGATTAGAATAGCAGAAATCACAATTACATTACTAGACAGGAAATAATTTACTGTGTCTCAGACTTTGCAATCAAATATTGATGAACAAGGAATTCTGTGGCATAATATCTACAAAGAGGGAAGTCTGTGCTGGTGAAGTTCTTCTATGTCACAAGTAGTAGAGCACCAGGAATTGCATTTCATTGCCAGCAATAGCACAGAAGGTAATATGTCTCGCATGGGAAACAATGGAAAATAGCAAACTCATAAGTAATATTTCTCCTTCTTGTGATTGCGTGATAAGCTGGCATACCCGTGATAAAGTTTCAGATGATGGAGTTCCAAGTAGATCTGTTATTAGATCTAACTGGTGCACAACATTCCTCCCAGGAAATAATGGTCTTCCGGTGAGAATTTCAGCAAAAATGCACCCTATACTCCAAATATCAATTGCAGGGGTGTACTGTACAAACAAAATCAACTGTCTTCATGAATATGAAAATATGGGAATATATCTTTCTCATCAGTTTTGTAAAAAACAAATATGACAGCGCCCAATGCAAGAAGGTAAATTTAGCACTTCTCATTAAGGGAAATGGGTGATACTGTACTGATAAAAGCCTAAATACGTCTTTGTATCTTGACACAAGAAGTTGTATTTGGAGAATTTGCAACTTTTTAAGAAAAAATTATATACAAATCTGAAGGACTTGCACATTTCAGGAATGCACAATGTGTTACAGAATGACCAGCTTACTTTGGAGAAAAAAGAACCACATAATTCAGGAGCTCGGTACCACCTTGTTGCCACATAATCCTTCAAATTGCAAACCACAGTATAAGTCTATGAAAATCTTACAGGGGAAATTATGTTATAGAGAAAATAAAGTCGTACGGTCCAAAAAATTGTTGAAGGTGAATCATTAAATGCTACACGTGCAAGTCCAAAATCACAAATCTTCAGTTTGCAGTCTGAATTGGCCAGTATGTTCTTTGGCTTTAAGTCACGATGAAATACATTAGCTGAGACAAGTTAAACCATATATCAGAAACTCAGTAATGATTAATGGTTGAAATATAACTTCCACAAAGTATACAGATTTGGAATGAAGTGGCTGTTGGTGACAAGGTTAATTAGATGCTAATTTCATCACTAACCTGAATGTATGTACTTGAGAGCACAAAGAAGTTGGTACAAGAAAAAACGGTGATGCTCTGGGCTAAGGTCATGATTTGCTTCGATAACTTGATGTAGATCTGACTCCATGAGTTCAAAAACAACATAAATATCCCTGAACTCCCTTCGGGTAGGAGGGAGCATGATGTGCTTGATCACAACAATGTCTGGGTGGCGGAGAAGCCGAAGAACTTTGATTTCCCGCAGAATGCGGATGGCATCTGAAACATGCTCAAAAACATCATTGATCTTCTTGATTGCAACTCTCTCCCCAGTGTGAGTATCTACTGCAGCAGCAACTACTCCATAGCTTCCCTTGCCAACGACCTCTTGAATCTGATATTGGCTTGCCTCCCCGTATTCCGTAAAGAACTCCATGTCCGATGTTCTCTAAAACATCACAATTTCCCAAAATCATATAGACCATCACAGAATAGAAAAAATGTGTATAGAGCATGTGAGGGAACATTTTAGGAGTCCTCAACAATCCAGTAAAATAAGACAATCAAAAGGACCAAAAAGAAAGCAAAGCAGCATTGCAAATTAATCGAAGTTGACATAAAATAAACTGAACCAGAACAACTGATAATTTGGAAACTGTAATGGCACACATCAATATGGCAAAAGTAGCTTCAAGCAAATGACATGCATAATCAAAACATAAAAACAGGAAAGGAAAAATGTTATTGATCGATGTCAATGGTCAAGATCAGTAACAAACATAGTTAAATCAGAGCAATGCAGTTAAGTCAAAGCAAAAAAAGATCTACATATAGATGAATTGTGTTCACAAGCTATTACAAAATAAGGCAACTAGAATCAGGTGGAAAGAGAACGAGAACGAGTTCAGACCAACGATCGAAGATGTAATAAGGTGATTCGAATTAGGTGGGTCGTCAGTGTTCCAAGGCCAAAAATGCTGTCCGGCACCGCAGGAAGCAAAATCTGATTTGGGAAGAAAAAACAGGGGTCGGATTTCTAGGTATAACAGGTAGCTGCGGTCGTAGGAGAGGGGGGATTCGAAGATTATCGAAGAATGAAGAAACTAGGTTAGGAGTTCGGAGAGTGGGGAAAGGGGAGGGATAGGCAAAAGGGATGGATTTGTCCAAAAATAATGTGGGCCCACATCAATTTTTCCCTCACCAGTATGTTGTGCACCCTTCTACGCTACTAGCTCCTTGCACCATATTGATGGAGAACTAATTAAATTAAACTTGCAGCTTAGATAAATGAAAAAGAGTAAATGTAACGTAAGAGGGATGTATCTTTCATCAGAAGAAGACATGTAGCATAAAAAAGATTTGGCGAACACACGTTGATCCAAAGAACCCTAAGTGCCTAACCATTGCACAATTCCATTGGTTCATATCATCTCTAGCCTCCATGTTAGAGTCATTAGACCTAAACAAGAATTTGAATAAAATTCTAAAATATTTCGACATTTTACATTGGATAGTTTTGCAAAATGTTTCAGTTTGTACCAATCAAGACTGGATTTCTTTGAAGATGTGTCTACAAAGAGACTGCATGCATTGATTCAACATCCATACAGTGGTCAGGATGCACTATTTCTAGCTACAACAAAATGTGGAAGATTAAGTAATTTTAATTTGTAATGTTATAACAATCAACTCTGTTCCACATGAACATAAAATCAATATCATAGTTATCACCATGTAATTATCGTGCAAAAAAGAAAATCAAACAATTGGCAGATCATTATTAAGAGTGCATCAAAACCTTTAAAGAACATCAAGGCTAAATTGAAATTAATTGCTCAATCTGGGTTTTCTAATACATCTATATAAGGATTTTATGCAATATCCTCGATACTAATATTAGAATTTTGAACTTTGCTAATCCAAACAGTTAGCATGAGTATGCAATTTATCACTAGCCCACTGTACCGCCCAAAAATTATGCTTTTCTTCACAATTTTCATTCATGGTCCAAAATTCTCGTGGTTATTTTGGCGAATTCAAAGTTATAATAGACAGATACTTGCACTCAAGTGGACAAGCACTACGCCACTACCTACTATTGCATCATCCCCCTGAAAAGTCATGTGTTGCCTTTTCATTTATCTTAGATATCTACTATGAACTAAGGGGCAAACATCCATTCTTGATGCAAAGAAACTGGCAGGTGCATTATTCCTAACTATCGTCCTTTCCTTATTTACATCCAACTCTGCAACCATATCTCACCTATCATGAACAAATATCTCATCTTTCATGAAGCTCCTAAGTTCCCAGGTCCTAACCCCCTACACGGAGACACAACAGCAAATGCTGTTTCTTGTTGCTGCCAAAGCAGAGAACACTACACCCTGATTACCAACTAAGCAATAGTCATCCAATCAGATTGCAGCAGAGAGTCACCACCCCCTTCCACAAAGCTTCGATGTGGCATATGAACAATTGAAACAGGATGCATTCCTCATCCACAGGAAGGGAGATGATTTGAGCATGTTAAGCTCCACAGCTTAGAAGGTTGTGAGCATAAAAATCAAAACACATTTGATGCAGTGATTTATAAGGTAACCAATTTACATATATGTAAGGAAATGGAGATCAGAGTTGCTTAAAAAGAACAAATTAACTAGTCGAAATAGCGTGAAGGCAATAACACAAGAGAAGTAACTAGTATATACCTTGCTCAATAACAAATGAGCCCCACATGAAGGATCATTAGAGAAAGGAAGTACACGATTAGAGTTTTGAACTGCATCGATCAAAAGTAATACAACTGCCCAAGCATTTCAGGAAAGTGGCTGAGGTACCTTCTGAATGCTCATGGTATCAACAGAAAGATAAACAGCAGAGCAAGTAAAAATAGCAAAGGCCAGCATCTATGCTCTTCTCCTTATAATTATCATGGGCAGAGTGATAAAGTCAGATTTCAGCCAAACAAAAATGCTATACCCTCAAGGTCAAACTTAATAAATTAAGAAGTTGGATCCAAGGTGCAATCAAGATTTGCTATCAGTAGAATCTGTCACTGCCAACGACATCAGAAAGACAAGGACACCAGAGCTTCTGCCGAACTATCCAAGCAAAAAACTAAATGGAACGTGTACGGAAGGAACTTAGAACACATGAGATAAATTTGACCTAATGAATTAATATAATAAAAAGGGACACAAAGGTTTGAGCTCCAAACAAGAAATAGGAGAAGTGCACCTTCGTGAAGCAAGCAACAGCTAAAACCTATCCTGTGAAATTGCATGGTCAGAATAGCCATAGCCCACCACAATTGACAATTCTACAGAATAATTCTTTTGCCATGGCACGGTAAGAATATATTCAAGCACTTGGAAAGCACAAGCAGAGCGGGAGAAAAGATCATCCTGTTGCAAAATACCAACACCAGAAGCCACCTAACAGACAGAACCACCAGGAAGCAAAATTGGAATAAAGCATCAACCAAATCCACTTGAAGGCGAGTGTTTTTATATAAAAAATAAGAGCAATTCTACGGTCCTTGAGGACCATGAGATACTAAAATTTTAGTGTAAAATTTGGTATCTCATGGTACCTTATAGTACCTAGGTACCAAGAGGTACCAAATTTACAATAGAAAAAAGGTACCTCATGGTATCTCTTCAAGGACCGTAAAATTGCTCATAAAATAAACAAAGAGAAATTTTGGATAAGAATAGAGCTGCGCGATCCTTGTATCCAAGAATGAAAAACAGTGTGGCTTTTAGCGAAGAAACACACAAGACAACTATTCTTCGAACCAAGAACCCATCAAAATCATACCGGAAATAAGCTTTGCACATTGTGAATGGGAAAGTGCATATTTTCCCTACAAGGCCCACTACCACATCATGCTACAAATTGCTCGAGCTAGAAGGGGTTGCTCCAATTGCTAATAGCATCAAAGAAAAGCTAAGGTTCTTACTTGCTACCACTGAATTTGAAGGAATTGTTCTGCTGTGCCACCACCACCACCTAGACCAAGGGAGGACACATGGTAGGAACTAAAACAAGCAGACAGATTGCCGTGGAACTTGACCAACGGAAGAAACATGGCTGGCACTAAATCAAACAGTCAGATTGCCTTGGAACTTGGAGGCAATGCCACACGTCATTTTTTTACCGAAATTTCAGAGCAAAAGCGGGGAAGCTTTAGACCGAGTAAACTCCCGGCGCGACCAACTGAACACACACCCTACAAGTCAAATTCGATCGAGTTCACACCCTTCAACCACTCAATCGCATCGAATTCTCGTGAAAAAAAAGGCCAGAAGAATCCATGAAAATGGCAGAGACGTGAGCTTCCACCCATCGTACAGCCTGTCAATTGATCAACCCGGAATCCGAGAAACACGCGAGGGTTAACAGCATCACCAGTTCACCACCACACAACTGACACGAGGCGGGCAGGTGTGAACACGAACCTCGTTCCTGAGCTGGGCGTCGGGCGGCGGCGGCGAGTTGCGCGCAGGGACGCGGATGGCGGCGGGGAGCGCGAAGGGGCCCGGGACCACCTCGAGCCCACCGTCGCCGCCAGGGTGGCGCGCCAGGGAAGACGAGCGCAAGGGCTGATAGGCGGAGGCGGTGCGGCCGCGGCGGCGGCGGAGCCATCTGCGGACGCCGTCGACGACCCCTCCCCCGGCCATGGTGGTGGCGCTGCTCCGGCGACGCCAAGCGGCATTGCGGAGGCGGCGGCGGCTGCTCCTCCCCCGGGGTTTTGTACGCCGCCGCGGCGGGGAGGACCGCGCCGGCGTCTCGCGCCCTCGTCGTCGTGAGAATCGACTGATTGACTGACGAGTCGTCGCTGCGGAAAAAATCGGACGGTTTTGGGCGAGTATTAGGCTCATGGACGGATGCGATTGACGGAGATGCCTTTCTATTATTTTTCTTTTTTTTAAGAATTATACGGTATAACGAGACACTCATAACACACGCACACTCGTTCCTATGAACGCACGCATGTAAACTCTACCACTATGAGTATCTACGAATACTAGACCGGTAAATCCTTAAGATTAACGAAGTAACCACAGACACTTGCTAGATCAAAGAAAAAAACATATTTCTAAAATTAAACACAATTTATGAATATAGACATGCAAATGTGCAATTGCAAGCATGAAAGACGTATAATGATGTCATTTACTTCTACATAGATAAATAAATAGACAACATAATAGCATCTACTTCTGCACACAACGAACGGACATACAAAATCCTCTGGTTAAACGAACAGACAACGGTTAGACGATCATCAATTTGATAATACCTCAAAAATCTCAAGGGATAATCAAATTGGAATGGAGGGAATTTTTTTTTCTCCATCACACAAAAGAGGTATGGCACACTTACCACTAGACATATAACACCGCACCCTTTTTTTAACCAAGCATGCAACATTATTAGTTTTTATTTTGTATATGAAAAGAAAATGATTCCCTCGTTTTTATACGAAGTTAAATATTTTTGTTTTCACCACCAACTTTTAGAAATTTGTGCATTAAAAAACATTTCTTATGGCCTTATGATATTAAACTATATGATTTTCTAAAATGGATAGTCAAATATATAAATATTTGACACGAAACAAATTTAGAATGACAAGTAATTTATAGCAAGGGGAAGTACATTTTTACTTTTTTCTTTTACATTCTTATTATGATCCGCACAAGTTTTAAATTTGATAGGTTATCTTCGTAAACAAAAGGTTGTCAAATCTTGAGTTAGACTTGATCTAAAGACAAATATCATCCACTGAAACTTGATTAGCAGACACACCACTCAGTAATTCTCCATAACAAATCGCATTCAAGCAGACTAGCACGCACAAATCCAAAGGAAAATAAGCCACGACTAGGAGTCGGGCGTGCATAGAACGGCAGATGCCCCCATCCTTCAATCACAAACTCAGAACACGCCAAAAACGTCAGGGGAGCCAAAGCCACTTGGGCACTTGGCTTGACAATATCCATAACTTACAAACATTGCTCGAATTCCTGGCAAAGAAATCGAATCAATGCTTGGTGTTCATATTGCCTATACAAAATCAGATCAGGGCAAAAGCACTAGTGCACGGAATCTGCCTATCTGGAGACAAGTAGTTCACCCTTGGGGAGTTTCTCTTGGTGGATGTACAAAATTGGCAGCAGCTGATTGGGTTGACACAGCTTCACGCTGCCGGGATCTGATGGGTGCAGCGGTCTATTTCTTCGCTGGGGCCTTGTGAAGCTTATCAAAGATGGGATGTCTCAGGACTTCTTTCGCAGATGGCCGCCTCACTGGATCAGGATCCATCATGGACTGAAGACAAGCAGAAAGAGAATGTTAAGTTGCATGTCGGATTGCCTGTTATAGGAGAGCAGATGCTTCTGAGAAACATTATTTGAATTTGCACCTTCAGCCTACCAGCTAGTAGCTCATGTACTCAAAGGTTGGTACCTCAGTACGCAAGATATTTTTGCATAAAATGCATATGAGAGCACATTATGCTTAAATGCTTAGTTGAACCAAAATAACAGTTAGTATCACACATGCTACGAGTGTGACTAGACGTGTTGGGAAAAAGAACATGATAACAAAACAGAAAGATTTAACCAAAGATAAAGTTAACTGGAACTAAAAGGCAGAACAAAGTAGTGACAGAAATGATAATCATACCCAACAAAAGAACATTTCTTGTCTTAACCAACTATATGCTAAAAATAGCAAATTGTACTAGAGCAGATTCAGCAAATGACTATTTAGGTGTTGTTGATTTTAGAAAGAGATACAGAAAGGCCAAAAACAGGCCACTACCATATTCTATAGAAATCACTTTAGTGTATCAAAAGTGACCAATTAATACTTCCTCCGTTTCATAATGTAAGTCATTCTAGCATTGCCCACATTCATATGGATGTTAATGAATATAAATATATATATATGTATAGATTCATTAACATCCATATGAATGTGAGCAATGCTAGAATGACTTACATTATAAAACGGAGGGAGTATCATATTCTACAATGACTTCATCAGTTGGAAACTTGAAAATATATATCCAACGTCAGGGTGCTTCACTGCTTATGTATCATAAACTGAAGCAGTATATCAACAAATCAGTCTTTTAGTTGTGGAAACAGAAAGTCTAACACAGGATGAGAGGAAGACTTTCCCTTCAAACAAATTAAATAAAAGAAATGAAAAGATAAGAAATTCCTGGAAATGGAGCTTCTACTCCAACATGGGGAAGATACTGGGATCGTGGCAATTAAATGTGTTTCCTCTGATATAAATAGAGGCAAATCAAAATAAGCAGGGACAGACAAGTTACACGGTGTTGTACCTTTATTAAACTCTGAAATTGCATTGGGCATCCTGGAAGCAACGCAATTTTTCCCTCCCGGAGACTTGTGAACTGAGGTCCAGAATCAGGAAGCTGGGTACCTCTTATAAGTTCATAGATAGCTGCCCCAAGAGAAAAGATATCCACCTTGTCAAGATGCTCATACTTGTCGTTCAGCATCTCTGGAGGCATATAACGTGAATCTCCATCTTCAATTGCCAAACTCCGATCAATAAGTGTAGCACAACCAAAATCACCAAGCTTATAAACACCATTTCTGACATATATGTTATCTGGCTTCACATCAAGGTGTGCAATACCACGTTCATGAATGAAGTCCAAGCCTTTGCAGATCTTCATTTTCACAAAATTAAGTTTAATATTAATAGGTGAGATACACATGGAATGTATGGAGAATTTGGAATGCAAACAACACATGATTACAAAAGCTGGTCTATAATGAGCTTCAGAGAAAGACAAACACTACCAGCACAAAGTATATGCCCTTTCCCACTTCTACAAGAATTCTCTCCAACACTAAAACTTGTGCAGGTAAATAGTATTTGTGAACTGCCTCACGCAATTAGAATACACCCTATATTGTGGCTATCTGTATACCATAGTACCATACCTCCATTATGGAGATTAGGCTTCAGTATTTGTTTGAACTGGATGACGCCCATCAACATCAAGTTGAAATATGTTACACTCACCAAGTTAAAATAGAAGATCTAAGACCTGTTTGTTTACTCTAGCATGATGATAAGTGTTCCATTTTACTTTCCAACTGCATGTGTTGTATACCGTGTTTGTAAGAACTAAGAACCCAAAAACTTGCATGTTTTACTCCCAAAGACCAGAACATGCACCTTACAAACATCATGGTCAAATAAGAGCAATCAATTGCTAATGTAAGTGGATAACAGCAGAGAATAAACATTATCCATGAATAATTTGAGCCTTCAGAAAGTATTTAATATATGTTGCAGAAACTTGTTTGGATGAATTACGACATAATATTGTTATTATATCATAACTGCAACATAACTTAGCTACGCGTACTGATCCAATGACAAAGAAGAAACAAAATGAACCAGTAAACAATAAGAGTAACTATTGCGTACCTGGTACAGCAGTTCCAGGGCTTCCCCACATTTCAGCGGCTGATTTCTATCCATGGACAGGCAGCGGTCACACAGTTCCATTTGAATAAAAAGCTGTTTGTTCTCAAACCAAGAAGTGAAATATCCAACAATGTTCTCATGGCACCCTGCTAAGACATGTAACAGATGTTATAACCATGTAAGAAATATAGCTGAAAATGAGGAGGTTATAGTTAATTTTGCTACCTAAGGCTGCCAAAGCTTGAACTTCCTTCACTGCTTGCCTCCTGCAATGAGAGAGACAACATACAAGTATGCAACATTAGTTTTTCATGGTTAATAATTAAGCATAACGACTGCTGCAAGGCTACCTTTCCCTGTCATTATGCAGTTGCCTGATACTCCGTTTTACTGCATATAAGCAGCCATCTATCCTCTTCAGAACTTTGAACACAACACTGAAGTTTCCACGTCCAATTTGCTGAAAATCAAGTGTGCTCATAAGCAAAACCAACATAAAATGGAAGTGTATAACCTGACACAGATAACCAATACATATCCAAACTTCCAAAGCAAACCTCAATCTCATGGAAATCAGTTCGATAGCGTGAAAGGCCATCACCATCAACAGAAGGAGAAAACCCTGCATATAAAAAATGTGTATTGGGAGATGTAAGGCTACACGGTACTGACAAACAGATAAATGATAGTTTTGAGGGGATGTATCGAGATGATTATGATACAATAGCATACAATGCATCAAAATGCTACCTGATGATTTGCATTGTCTCCCACCAAAAACATTATCATCTATTTGATGATCTGTATTGAGGTATGGATTCCTGATGCATGGTGGAGGCATCACCCGGCAGCGAAGAGCCACTGCCGATTGGGAGACATAACTACCTCTCTTGTGCGAACTAGATTCCTTCAGCTGTTCCTCCTCTGAATCATCTAGACCTTCAAACTGAACTGGAGCAATCCACTGGCTATCAAAAATGTCATTGGAGCCAAGGCCTTTGGGGGAACAATCTGTAAGCATTGGCACACATCCAATTATACAGAGAATAAATAAACAAAGGGAGCATATCAAACTAGTATAAGTGAAGTCTCACCTCTCTTGTATCTCTTGCTCCTACAGACTGATTTCTCTGGAGAATTGGGGCAAGGGATATTCTCCTGCAGATGACCACAGAAACGGACAAAAAAAATCAGCAAAAATTAAAGTAAAGCTCAATATCCATTTCTAATCGATCAATCTCGCATCCCAGAAACTAAAGCGCCGCCTTTCCCCCAATACCCCCAACCTTATTGGCGTCGAAGCCGCTCCCGAGCTGCGGCGCATCTGGCGTGATGTAATCCGGGGTACTGCAGAACAGCAAGCAAATAGATGAAGAAATAGGGTTAATCCAACCGCACTCCACCCCCTCAAGCACACGAAAGCACAGCTCGGAGCCGGATCGGGAACCCTACCAGAAGAAATCCTGGCTGAGGATGCCACTATCCTTCTCCTCCACGACCTCGTCGGCGTCCATTGGCGTGGCCTGCGGCTGCAGCGGAGGTAGGGGCGGAGGCGGGGTCGGGTCCGGGTCGCAGGACCCCTCGAGCAGCTCCTCGAAGGGCGTGAAGGGGGTGCGCGCCGCGGCGGCGCCCTCGCGGGGGGCGTCGGCGAGGAAGGAGAAGAGGGAGACGTGCTCGAGCTGCAGCGACAGCTCCCCCGACGGCGACCTCCCCTCCCTCTCCCTCTCCCTCTCCCTCTCCCTCTCCTTCCCCGCCGCAGCCGTGGCGCGGCGGGACTTGCCGCCGCGCGGCCGCGGGGTCTTCGTCCTCAGCATCTCCCCGCCGCGAAGAGGAGATCTCCGCCTCCACCGAGCTCGCCGCAGCCCTCCCCCTCGTCGCCGCCGCGTCGCGCCGCCTCGGCTTCGCCTCCGCCACTTCGAGAGGTGTGTGGGTTTTGGAGGAGACGAAATGTACTACTACCAGTTGTAGTGGGAAGGAAGAAAAAAAATAAATGGAAAGAAATGGATTAATTAAAAATTGAAATGCGAGCGATTTGGCGGTGGAATTGGCGGGAGGAGGGGGTGGGGGGTTCGCCAATTCGAGGGGTGGAAATGGAATTGGCCGCGTGGCACTCGTTTTTTCTTTCTCGATTTGGGCGTTGGTCGCATGGGCCAAAATTGCGGCCTTTGTCACATTTGTAAGGCCTGCGAAACGAAAAATAATTGGGCCACAATCCCGGGCCCTTCTAGGGCTTTTTCGGGTTAATCCAACCCCAAGAAAATTAAGAAGGATTTTGAGAGATATAATTCTACACCTATCATGTGTAGAATTATTTCCCCTCAATCATTTTTCCTTAAGGATTAATCCAACAAAGGCTATGAAAAAAGAGCTAGAGTTTCGCCTGTCATAAACAAGGGCTAACCGTCCGAAGCATTGTTCGGTTATTTAGGGATTGCAGGGTTTAAATTATCTCTTTAAATCCCCTAAATTCTTTTGTGGTTTGGATTAACCGAATAAGATCTTATGGGTATTTAGGCCCACATATCAGGGTCATTATGAGAGCCCAAACCCATGATGTCGTCTTATCGTTTTGAGTACGTATCAAAGATAACTAAGGTGTGTTTCATTTTTACATACGTAATTGTTATAGAAGTATTATTTAGGCCATAGTTCTAAAAGGATTATCTCTAAAATTTTTTATATCATACTTTCTCTGTCTAAAATATACTCCCTTCGTTTTACAATGTAAGTCATTCTAGTATTTTACATATTCATATTAATGTTAATAAATATGGGAAATGCTAGAATGACTTATATTGTGAAACGGATGAAGTATATAGTAGCTTAATAGTAGGTGGGGCATCATCAAGTCCTACGAGTCTAGATAGCATCCTGCCCGGATTGATAACATTTGGAAAGGGTGAATAGATAACTTTTTTAAAGTTATTTATTGTTTGATAACAATTAATTTATTTGTATGAGCAAGCTTTGTCTATCTATAATCTACCCAATTATCTGGTTAGAACACCGTTATCTTCTAGTGTAACTATTTTCAATTACTACATAGGATACGCATATGTAGCTATTGGGAAATCATGCCATAATCAGGTTTTGCAAAGTCGCACGATTATCATGTGCGGTAATCTTCTCAGTTCTTAAAACCGTGGTAATCCTCACGACAACCACACGGTTTTCACAGTAATCGCGGTAACCGTCTTATCGTGGGGGTGACATTAACCCCATCCAAAATAGTTTGGTGAACTCCGATCGTAACGTAATTTGTCTGTTCAAAGAGTAAAGTTTTTTTTCCTTCATAGAAGATATACTACTTAGCTACCGTATGAATCAGGTTAAAAATCCCTGTTTGGGAAACATGGGTTTATTCCAAGTCCCTGTTACATCGGATGTTTGATACTAATTTGGAGTATTAAACATGCATTAATTACAAAACCCATTTCATAACCTTGAACTAATTCGCGAGACGAATCTTTTGAGTCTAATTACGCAATGATTTGACAATGTGATGCTACAATAAACTTTTCATAATTATAGATTAATTAGGCTTAAAAAATTCGTCTCACAGATTAGCTCTCATTTATGAAATTAGTTTTTTATTAGTCTATACTTAATACTCTAAATTAGCATCTAAACATCCGATGTGACATGGAAGTTTTAACCCCCATCTACACACCAACCTTCGTGGGGCAACATCGCAGTGACTCTGCGTCAACGTAGTACCGGGGTAGAAACAAACACGTCCGCCGCCGGGCGCCGGCCAGAAAACCGGTAGAAAAGGGAACCGACGAGACGAGACGAGACGACATCCATCCGCGCGTCGGCACTTGACATTACACGCGGACACCGACACCGCACCCACCAAACTGCCCCCAGAATTCGTCGTCAACCTCAACTCTGCACACGTTTATACGCCCAAACACCTGTATTCTGATGTATTTTAAGCCTCAATTTAAAATAGATTATTGACTAAATTATTGTTACGTATTAGTATCTGCTAAATTGTAGTGATAGATTATATATTTTGGTAAACAAAGTTAAAAATTAATTCAGGACAAGTGGCCTAAGCGGAAGAAAGTTAAAAAAAAAGAGTGTTTGTTGACTTGTAAAAAAATTAGTCCGTTTCAATAATTCGATAAATAGTATGAGAAAACAATACGCATAAATTTCTAAACAGCCAGCTCCCAAATACTAGTTAGGTAGTTGAAGATTATATTAGTTGTAGTTGTTAGGTACATGCAGCAACGTGCTCTCGAGGAAAAAGAATACATGCCCGATCACATGAGGAAGCGTATTATTGTAGTGGTATCTGTGATTCCATGGCCTGTACGTTTTCTTTTTCCTCCTTTCTGTAATGCAAAAACTCGCAGGGGCATGTGAACCTGTCGGTGATCACTGCTGGTGGATTTTTTTTTTTAGATAATGTAGCGGTGATCACTGCTGATGATGGATGGATACTATGACTCTATAAGCCTCATAGGTTACCCATTATTATTCCTAACAAGTCAAGACGTCTTATTAATAAATAAAAGCTAACTTGTAAATAAAACTTTTATATATTTGTCCGTAGCGATTTAGAAACCAACGCTAAAAATTATACATTGAATCTTAAAATCATGTTCGAAAATTTAAAAATTTACTCTTGTTCTGACTTATTAGACCGACCGATGTTTCAAGCACGATAGAAGAGGGGAATGGATGATGGATCATTAGCCAATTAACAACGTTCTATCAGTCGCCTTAAATACCTAGCTTAGCTCTCACCATATCTCGTGTACAGTAGTACGATCAGACTTATCAGAATTAATGCTCAAGACTCTTGACGACGATGTAGCAGTACACCATCATTGTTGTTGTTCTTGACAGCTTAAGCTACCATTAGGTTGAACTGTTGAAGTACTGAACCATCAGATCTGACTAAAGCAGAGTGAAGCGGCAGACGCGTGTGTACGTACCATCCCGTATACAAGATCGTGTGTGTTTATGTACTTGATTAGTATCATCTATCTAACCTTCGTTTGTTCTGATGCACTTATCCTCTTTTAATTCTGATCAAATGCACGGCACCAAATGTGGCAGGCAAGCAACTAGAGTACATCGACTGTGCAGATCTAAAAGGACGGATAAGTGGATAACCTTGTACTGTACAATATATAAGATATATAGAAAAAGTTTCAGCTAAACATCTGGGCCTCCTTTGAATGGAACGAACAGATAAATGGAAAAAATATATAAAATTTTGACAGTAAATGCAAAGCAGATGATTAAAAACACACGGAAAAAAATAATCGTTCGAAGAAAACCGTAGAAATCGAATGAGACGGGAAATTCAAATGAAATTTGCCAACACATTAGAGATTTTGCTAGTTTTTCTTTCAAAATATTAATATAATTGTCTATTACATAGAATTTTTAAAGTAATCGATAGGACTCAATCCGTGCGTTTCAAATGTCCTCGTAGAAATTTTTTACAGGAATGAAATACTCAAAAATATCATTTATTTTTTACAAATCAAGCTTGTCTGAACATTATAGGGGACGAAGGAACGCACAAATTCCGCCATTTTATTCTGTCATGTCTGATGATTGATGAATGATGAAGATCGAAACAAGTGTGAAACAGAAGACAATCTTTCATACATCCTTCCTATTTTGTTCCATACTTCCACTCGGTTTGAATGAAAAGGCACTTTTTAAAAGAAAAATATCCTCCCAAAATAGTGCCCTCTGGTAGCAACTTTATTGACTCGTTATTATCTCCCCTAAATTAATCACATGTTAATCACCAAAGTACTGGAGTACTTTACTTCTATTTTGAGATGACTGATGCGATGCGACCAGGTCCGGGATCATCACATCCGATCCGACCCCAACCACAAAGCATGTTGGTTAACAACTGAAACAAAACTACTTTGCCCTATCATTAACCCTTAATTAATCATCCCCTTTTGTGGCCCCGAGAATTTAGATTATTTACCATCAAATTTACATGACTCAACTTTTTTACCACCCAATCCGTATGTCTTCTATAATATATCATTAGGAGTACTAATTAGTATAATTGGTACCACTTTCTCAGTTTTTCAAGTATTTATCATTTCTTTTCTCAATTTGTATTCTTTTTCAAGTTTTGTGGACTGTTTTGCCCCTGGGCCCACCTGTCAGGTGAAAGGGTGATTTTTCCTCCTCAGGATCGATCGATCCCTCCAGCCTCCAGGCGTCGTTCGCCACCAAACCCCGTCGCCGAGCGCCGTTCGCCGCCAATCCCGCCGCCGGGCGCCGCCAACCCCGCCGTTCGCCACCACCTGGACGAGCGCCGCCAACCAACCGCCGGCGGGTTCTAGGCCATGCGCCGAGCGCCACCAGCGACGACCACCGTGCGCCGAGTGCCGCTCCCAGCTCAACGCCCCCAACGCCGAGCGCCGCCCGCAACGTCGAGTGCCGCGCCACGACCCCAACGCCAAGCGCCACCACACCGCTGCCGCCCCCGCCGACACTGTGCAAGATGGAGGCGATGAGCAGAGCTGGATTTGTGCAAAGTTGTAGTTTTCAGCAACTGGAAGATCAGATAGTTTTCAGCACCTGGATAGTGGCAAGTCTGTAGTTTTTTCTTCAGTGTTTCTTCAGTAGTTTTCGGTGGGGATGCTGCAGTTGAAATTGAAATTAACGAGGTCAGAGTGTCTAAAGTCAGAGGCATTGCAGGCAAAGTTTCTGGGACATATGTTCTTATACTGTTAGATTCCTTTTCTATGGACAATAGAGAATCTGATGACAATGCAGTGACACTGGAAGCTCTAGAAAATTCAGGTGGAAACTTCTCAAGATTTTCACATAGGAAGGTTCTTGAGATTTAACCAGCTCTTCATTTCTTGCTAGAGCAAGTGGAGAGGCTGATGATTCTGAAGGTTGTGAAGGGGAGGGCATGATCGATGTAAGGGAAACGCTGATCATAGCCACCTCTCCCTCTCTCC